AAAAAAAAAAAAAAAAAAAAAACAGGCGCTCGTATCAGAAGCAATATATGATGAAGCTGTCTAGAAGTAGTCCTCTTCATCCATGTCATCATCATCAGTATCGTCGTCATCCGACCCGTCCACTTGGACCACCTGGGCTGCTGCGGTGCTGAGCAGTAAATCATCGTCCCCTCTACTCATCAAAGTTGCCCCCCCCATTAAGTGCTCAAACTCATGCCCAAGCTCTTCCACCAATGCTCGGAGCATATGTTTGGCAATGTAGCGTCCAGGCGTGCCCCAAAAGGGCTTTCCCAACTCGTCGGTGAGATAGAATGCAGCTCTCTGGCCGGGGCCAACTTTCCACGCGCGTCGTAACACCTGCAGGCAGTAATGGAAATACACATAGCGTGCTGCAGGCCTGTAGCTGCCTCGGAACTGCAACACTCGGTTATCGAGCTTCCTCCAAGTGAGGCCAGTGTTATTTATCACCCTGTCCAGCTGGTCCCATGAGCTATCGATGATGCGGAACTTGTACTCCCGGATTTCCTGTCGTATCCAGTTCGATAGCATAGAATTCGTTGGCCTTTCGGGGATATTGGGAACGATCACCATGACACCGGCATCAAAGTATCGCTCAATAATCGAGCACATGATCAACCCATTCCTTGATGAAAAGAGTTCAGCTGGCCGGACCTTTCCGAATATAACATCCATAGTCGCCTGTCCGTGTCTGTATGAGAACAGGTGGGAAGCGGTCATAAAATCCGAGTGAAACCAGTCTTGAATAATTGGGCACCAAACAAGCCCGTTCTCACCGACACTCTCATAATCTGCTAGCAGGTTACGTCGAAAGTTACTTTGAACACTAGAATCCCTGGGGCCCATTCCAGTTGCGATCCCGAGGCCCATTCGGCTACTTGTAAAAAGGTTCATGAAGCTTTCGCGTAAACTTCCTCTTTTTCTCGTGAGGGTCAATGCCTGCTTTCGGTACGATGTCATCCGAACTTGTTGAGCTCGCATTTGCTCGAAAAGCATCTTGGCTTCCTCCGTGCATTCCCAAGCTGAGGGCTCCCCTTCAAACTCCGCAAGAGATATCTCGGAAACCACTCGTGTTTTCGATAGTACAATCGCTTCAACCTCGGCTGCTGCTGACCAGAACTGCGCATTACAAGAACCGTGTGCCTTCAGCTTCTTCCTCGCCTTGTCTGACTCAGAGCTGAGTCTGTCTTTCCTATCCGTCAGATGTGGTATTTCCTCGTGGCACCGCTTCTTCGGTATGAATAGGGAAGGCATATCGTCGAAAGCCGACATGACGGACTAGCGCGGATTCGTTAAATCTTGGAGGTGTATAGTGAATCGAGTGTCTTTGGGGAAAGGCTGATGGGGTCGTACTGCGGGATGAGAGAAGTGAAAGGCAAGCGGGTTCGTCGACGAGGAGGGTTCTTTAGGCAACAGCGGTAGCGTTTAATCATCTTTACATCATTTGGTATTATCTGATAAGTCGTCATCACGACCCTTGTAGGGTTAGACATCTGCGACAAAATCTAGCAGACGCCTACAGAAACAGGCCAGCAAGAGAATACATGGTGAGAGAACAATCCAAGGGAAGAAGGGAATGGATGGACGAGAATGTAGGAAGAGCATGGTAAGGAGATAGGATGATAGTAGCTGATTTTGGTCCAGAGCAACAGAAAATTGTGGTGAGAGAAATAGAACATCATGGTGAAGAGAAAAGAAGCTCGTAGTGAAGGGTTGAAGAAATCTCGTGACAGTCCTAGCTATTGCTTCTGCCAACAGCTCCTGAACACTACTATGTGAAAGCTATATGCTTCGATGCGTGATGCGCCACGATTCTCTCAGTCTATCCTCACAACAATGACGCTATGTTCTCTCTCTGGTCTTGTCCGGCCATGGAAATCTGAAGGCAAGCCCGTGCGCAACATCCCTCTGGATCTCGAACGTTGGTGACGCCTCCACTCGCGGCTTTGATGATGGATCCAATCGCAATCTGCCGATAGTGGTCAAGAAGTGGAGATCGTGAGGGGAGATTGCAAAGTCTATATGGTTAAAATTCCCGTAAACGGTTTAGGCGAGGCTATCTCGCTTCCTCAGTGCAGATCGGCAAGCTCGGATGCGAAGCTCTCCCCGCGTTTTCGCGACGCTATCTTAACCTGATCGCGCAATATTTACCGCCTCGCCAGACTATGCGACCTGCAAGTGACGTCTTTCTACATGCTTTGTGACGATGTGTCGGTGTCTGACCCGGATGGCCAATGGCATTGACGACGGATTCGATAGGCGAGAAGCAAGGGGGTGCAGATGACCTGGCCCTACGCTTCGCGACTGACTATATGTATACAAGATGGCTTGCCCCGAAGTCCATGGGCATAAACATGCTCATTCCGTATTTCTCATGATTGTGAAACCGAAATGTCCGACAAGACCGACCCAGAGAAACCCTTGGAGACGCGAGAAGATGACCCGGACCAGGCGCTCGGGGAGCTGGGATATCCCTCGGAACTCCGTCGAAACCGCTCGCTTTTCACGCTCCTGTTCCAATCGCTCTCGATTGCTGGGATTCCCTTCGCCGAAAGCGGTGCACTCATGCAAGCCATCTATGGCGGTGGCCAACTCTCCATCTTCGTCGGCTGGATCGTGGTCTGCCTCATGGATCAGTGCGTGGCCATGTCGCTCGCCGAGTTAGCCTCGCGATATCCCACCTCCGCCGGCCCTTACTACTGGTCCTTCCAGTTGTCTGGCAAACATGCCAAGCTTCTGTCATTTATCACAGCGTGGGTGTGGCTGATCGGGAACTGGACCATCACTCTCGGGGTCAACTTCGCATTTGCGCAACTCTTGGTTGCCACAGTGTCCATCTATGCCCACTGGGAAGCTACCGATTGGCAGCTCCTTCTAGTACTCTACACAATCTGTATTCTGGCCTTCTTCATCTGTGGCTTCGGCAACCGCTTCCTCCCAGTTGTAGACACACTCTGTGCAGGCTGGACGCTGGTTAGCATCCTTGTAGTTCTAGTAGCAGTCTCCGTTTCCGCCAAAGCTGGCCGTCACACTCCCTCCGATGCCCTTGCGCAGTACGATACCTCCCTGTCCGGCTGGGGAAACTTTTCATTCTGTATCGGTCTGCTACCCCCGGCCTTTGTCTTCTCCGCGATAGGCATGGTTTCCTCTATGGCCGAGGAAGTACATGCCCCAGCGATTAAGGTGCCCAAGGCCATGGCCCTCTGCATCCCGGTCGGTGGCATCGCCGGCCTTTTCTTTGTGATCCCTCTCTGTGTCACTCTCCCCGACCTGGTCGACATCACCAACGCGCCAAGCGGCCAACCGATCCCCTATGTGTTCCTGGTGGTGATGGGGACACGGGCCGGTGCCGTCGGTCTTGTCTCTCTCCTTCTCGTCGTCGGGTTCTTCTGTTCCATCAGCATTACCAACGCCGCCTCTCGTTGTACGTGGGCTCTGGCACGAGATACGGCCCTCCCAATGTCAAGGCTTTTTTCCCGTGTGGACGATCGCTTCCGCATTCCACTATGGGCATTGGGTCTTGTGACCGTAGTACAAATGCTCTTGGGATTGATTAACCTCGGCAGCAGCAGTGCCTTTACGGCATTCGTCTCGGTGGGTGTGATTGCCCTGGCCATCACCTATTCCATTCCAATCAGCATCTCCCTATTTTACAACAAGCGTACCGAGGTATCGAAAGCAAGGTGGAACTGTGGTCGAGCATTAGGGACGACGGTGAACCTCATCGCTCTGGCGTGGATTGCCTTTGAGCTCGTCCTGTTCAGTATGCCTTCCACCTTGCCTGTCACCCCCGTCTCGATGAACTATGCGTCGGTGGTCTTCGTGGGGTTCACGGCCATGGCATTTGTATGGTATATAGTGCACGCTAGGAAAGGTATATCGTCTTTCTTAATTAGAGGACATTCCTCTGCTAACTTACTTCAGTTTACGTAGGACCTCCTCTGTCGGATGGGATGCCTCAGGATATGTGAAGCTCATTCACTTGGACCTGTAAAATCGATATAGTTGGCTACCTGGCGGAATGCGAGTCCCGTTGAACTATTATCGACATGTGGGATGGGAGAAACTGTGTCTGGCCAGGGTGACATGATGATTTTTGAATCTGTTCCATCTCAGCCGTCGCTGATGACGGTAGGTTTGGAGAGTAGTTACAATATTATCGTTTAATTTGTTGGGACTCATTGAATACATGAATTGAGCATAGTTTCTCCTGACTGTAAGCCTCATTTGATAACAGTACCCGTGATGACCTCGTTCTGCCATCATTCCACAGACTCAGCGTCGTCAAAGATCGCGACACCCACTGACCTCTCCCACTTACTGTCCTCATCATCTGAGATGGCCACATTGAATCGGTCCACCCCAGCCTGGTCACCCGCAGTATACGTTGCCACTGTACCGTCTACAGATACGGAGCCTAACTCCCCACCGGATATCTCGAAAGCTGGATTGGAAAACCCGCCAGCCAGGCCAGCCAAATCGTACTTGACCGATGCCCCTGGAGCCACAAACACATGTGGCTCTGCCATAAAATTGATATAGCCTTCGATCGCCGTATAGCCATCTCCGCCAGTGGAATCGTCCCACCAATCGGCAATACCATCGTCGTTGGCGTCCCAACTTGTCGGCCGCGTAGTCGTCGGGAATTCTTCCAGTCCACCGACATCCGCTTCGTTATCGATTAGACCCGGCTTGCCGGTTTTCGAACCGCTGTACGTGGCTGTTCCATCCAGGGTCTCCTGGATAATACGCTTGTCGTGGTCATCGACGATGGGCTGACTCGCGCCGCTGTCCGAGAGCACACGCTTGTAGGCTTCCGTGGACGTATGCTCTTCGATATACGATGGGAAAAAACTTATATCAGAAGTTAGATTAGCATTTCTGTCCGAAAAGAAACACAAATGGGGAACAGAATGGAGGGTCCCGGACGTACGGCTTATCGAAGAACTTTTGGTACTCAGGTGCCGGGTCAATACTGACGTCTGCATAGCAGGCAATCTTCGAGGCCTGACCTGTACCATCCCCCGGTGGGTATTGAACGGAATCCTGATCAAATACGTCGGGCATCGAATTCCCAGCACAGTGATACTGCTGGGTGCCAGGCAAGTTATCTTCATACTGTACCCCCCAGACTGGTTAGCCATAGTTTGATACACTAACTAATCTCGACAGAGCACTCACCGTAGCTTTTAGGGCGTATGTTAGTTCGCTAGCCGGCCCCTGCTTGTACAGATTGCCCACGAAGTTCACTTCCTTAGCACCGCCATCAGTAACACGCGAGCCTACCAAGTTATTAATTGGACGGTAGACGGGGTAGAAGGGATCGCCATACCAAAGTTGTACACCACATTATTCCGAATATCGAGGCGGCCAGCGAAGGTCGAGTTGTCGTCGACACCGCCACCCATGCTCCAGCTCCGGCCTTCCGCATGGCTTATCAGGTTATGGTGGAAGGAGCCCACGTCGCCCCCAATAGTTGCTGCATACCCGTGAGCTGTCCCTTCAGGATAGTTCTTGTGTCCCGCGACGTTGAGCGGCTCCGAGATCATGTTTCGCTGGAAGGTGATGTTATGCGCTGTGCGGGACGAGAAGCACTCGTCGATCCCCCACCCCTATGGTTTCGGTCACTCACTGCGCATAGAGGTCCTGGAGGTATAGGAACTCACCATTGAACAGTGGTCAAGAATGCAGTAGTTGGATCCTGCCATGCCCATGCCATCGACCGTCTCGCCCGAGCTACTTCCTGGTCTGACACGCACATGCCTGAAGATCACGTCTGATGCACCAGAGAGACCCAACGGGTGGCCTTGGACGGTGATGCCCTTGCCGGGTGCCGTTTGACCGGCCACCGTCACATAGCTGTCACTCACCGTGAGGCGCGAATTGATCGTGATGACCCCTCCCACATCGAAAACGACAATCCGAGGACCAGTTGCGACGGCCAGCGCGTAACGCAGGGTTCCCGGCTCCTCACTGTCCTCCAGACTGGTGACCTTGACGACTTTGCCCCCGCGACCGCCACGGGCAAAGCGACTGTTTGATGTCATTATACGCACAATCGGCGCGTTCCATAGATGTGCAACAGAACTCACCCATATCCCTCCGCCCCCGGAAATGCTAATTGCGCAAGCCGAAACATGAATATCCGACCTGTATATGTGCTGTTGCCAGAAATCACATCCACACGCCAGTAGAAAGTGTCCATGGTGTTCAGCCCTTGACTATGTTAGAGTGGTTCGATAATCGGCCCAGAAAGGATACGGTACCTGATAGGGCTACCTGTGTTTCACTCAGCCCTTCTTCGACAACGTCAAGGGCATCGGACGAATTTCCCATGTAGACATTATAAGTGACTGCAGCAGTAGAGGACGGTGCTCTCCATGTTGCTGTGATGCTATCGTCGCCGCCAAGCTGCAGGTGCTCGTCACGATGCGATGGAGAAGGGAATGAGACTTGATCTTTCAAGGCCGGGGTGTCAACCTCGAAGCCGTTGAGATAAACAAGTCCATCCGCACTGGAGGGCGTGTAGAGGACTTCCACCGGTTGATCGGTAGAGTCCACAGTAAATGTGACATAAGATGTAGCGGCCTCCCAAATGTTATCCACGCGAATCGACTGCTCAATGTCCTAGAAAAATTATGCCATGTGAGCACTCATACGGCTAGTTCTCGCTTGAAACGACGCACCGAAGCCTTGTCCTCACCGTCCACCGACACAGAGATTGTGGCGGTGGAGTCCAAAGAGTCCCAGGCATTATGCCATGTCAACAAGGTGTGCTCCCCTGCTTCCAAACCTTGGATGGTCAACGTAATCGGTCCGGGGTTGTCGCTGGAGGTGGTAATCCCTTGGTTGACGACTCTTTCTCCGAGATGGGAGACGGGCCGCGTATATTGATACTTGTAGCTGTTGCCCTCTAAGTCCGACTCGGGCGAGACGGACAACGTCAAATCGAGAGAGTCAAGCGTTGTGGACGCATTCTGGCTTTCGTTTTCAATGGCCCAGGTGTGAAAATCGGGTTCTGCGAGGGTGTTCACGGTGGACGGGCTCAGACGAACCCTGATCTGGGCTGTCGCGACCGCGAAAAGCGACGCACCCACAGCCACATGCCTGCATAGAGATTCCATTTCTGCAGTGAATGGGATATTCTGTCCATCCGGACTTGCACCTCTGGCGGCATCTTTATGTGCCTCCGTTCCCCCGCGTGCCGGCGTGACCGAGAGACAATGTCATGGCACATGCTATGCATCTCAGACCAAGCGTTTCATGTAAAGGTCCAGCCTACATTCACCGTTGGCGGAATTTCCCTGACTGGCAGTCATGACCCTTAAAAGCAATTTATCCATGTTGCGATCGGCGTGCCGAGCCTTGGAAAACGGAGGCGATCATCACCATCTCCTAATATCATTCGACAATCGCTGGGAGGAGACCCTCGGGCCGAATTTAATAGCCAACAGACCACGTAGAAACGCCCCGGGTTAGAGGTGCCCTTCATGATGACGATACCTAGTCTGCTCGGTTAAAGAATCCGAAACTTCGCCTAAGTTGCCCCAGTCAGTCGGATAGCAATTTTGCCAGCAATCGATAGGGACTGCTGTTTGCTCTCTGCAAACAGGTGGGAGATGGAAACGGAAAGCCAAGACGCAAGAGTAAAGATGAAAGAAGAGAAAGATATTGCGTAGTTCAAGGAGAGGCCAGTGCTGATCAGGGCATATGGTCAAATTCCAGGGATAAGCTACTGGGGCCATTGGCAAGTAAGCTATCCGGTTTGCAAGTACTTCTTAGCAAGACTTTGACAGTTGGCTTCTCGGATTGTGCAGACTGACATCATGTCACTGTCAATATTCATCTCAAGTCTCTTTCTAGGACCATCGATCGATTGATGATGGACCAGGGACTGACAAATGACAAGGAACGCATACGGGCTTGGCCAGCCAACCTTCAATAATCAACAGTGCGCCATGGCCTTGAAGAAAGCTTCCGCCTACTAAATATTAAAGGGCATGAACTCTTCACCAAGGTTAGCCCTACTTTATTCGAGCTCCTCTTGGCGCTCCACCCTCGTGGTCTCTCAGGGCACGTAGGTAAACTATTGTAATACCTGGCTTGTCAAGGGTTCTTCAAGATCAAGTCTCCGTTCGCACCAGGGCCTATAAATACCATCTAAGCAAAAGGCTTATGCAATCTTTTTTTTTTTTTTTTTTGGACTAGGATTGGTGTGAGTTTTGACGGCGCTATTTGCCTAAATACACATCTCACACTCGCATTTCCGTCTCTTCTCGGTGGTTCACTTCCTTTACAATGCAAACATGATCAGGTTTCCAACGGATTTGGAGGACACCCCACTCGTCCTCTATCGGGCTGAATGCAGACATCCTCGCTGCATCCATACAATAATTCTAGGCCATTGCATCCCACGTCTTCGCCGGGCAGCTTAGGGATTATCCACTAGTAAGCCTCCAACGCCCTTTGACCACGAGCCAACCGAAAAGATTGAAGTAAAGACGCAGGAAAGGACTCGTAGCTTTCCTTGATTAACCGCAGATAGTGACGTGGCAGGCTCTTCTAACACTGACCCACAGGAATGTAGTTTGGAGGGCGAGCAGTGCACAGCGTACCAAGATCCACTATTTGGGGGAAAAGCTACCTGAGTAGCGGAGAGGGCAATTTGAGTTGGATAACTCCGAGTCCGTTGGTTCCGAGAGCTGGCGTCGGCGAATATATCCACGTTATTGGATGCCATCCTATGCCAGCCATATGTTCAGGCCCCGTTGACCACGGTTGACGCCTTGCATTGGTGACTTCCTGCAGGACAGTGGGTCTTCGCGGCAGTGGCTGGCGCAGAGACTGTTCTTCTGTCTTGGCGGTGCCTTCTGTGGACGCCCGGCTGCTGATCTTTGGGTATCTAAGATCTTCTTCTGTGTGAGACAATCCACAGTTCAAATCAAAGGCTACTTCTCTCCACTTCTGACTTACGATCAAACCTCGATATGTTTGAGTCCGCTTCAAGGTACGATAGGGAAGGAGCCTGGCACATATTCTCGACTACGACGACAGGAGAGCCAGGGCCATACGCTATACTTCCAGTTTCCAATTCATCAATTTACTTTATTCGTCCCCATCAAGTAAGTAACTATCATCCCTAGCCCGAGGCCTGGTGCAGATCGGTCCATTCTGGCTGCCTGAAAATGATAGATCAAGTCCAAGATTGACCGTGCATCCGGGTACACCGACACGTCACTGCTTGCAGTGTGAATGGGTCCTACACGAGCCTGACTCTACTATCAATGGCTCAGAAAGCCCCGTATTCTCCTTCAACGTCTACAAGGTAGCACATCAATCATGCAAGAGTTCAAACCTTGCCTGCCTGTACGTGCTTGCTTCTCTATTGACGCTTCGTCTCAATTTATTAGTCAAGCAAGTTGTACGGATGCCTGATGGTCTCGCACTTTGAAGGCACCAAGGTCTAGTCGTGGTACATATGAAACGTCTATTCTGATAGGAGTGGTGACATACTTTGTAGGTAATCTGTTCGTCTTTCTCTGCTGTAGATGGTGGACACCATCACTCTATTGGGCAACAATCTACCTTACCTTTCAGCTCTGACTGATGGCCGATCATTTCCTGGTGTATAGGCCCCGCGCCTGAAAGGTCAATTCTGCATCTGCTCTTGCATGATACAGAGCTAATAGAGTCAGCTGAGGTAGGCGGGGTAGTTGCATAGCTGGAAAGGACGATTGCAGTAGAGGGCGAGAATGGTATAAATATGGGAGCATGGACGTGAGAACCTTCTGACCGATAACAGCTCCATCTCTCGCCCGGATACCAAGAGGAGAGAAGCACCACATACCAAACAACGACACAATGGGCGACGCAGGGCCACCAAAGATCAGTAACCATGATCTTATCAGCTCCTACTTCATTGGGCCCAAGTCGGAGAATCTGAAACCGTTCAGCGATAATATTGCAGTCATTCTAGAGCAGCTTAGGAAGACTCGTGACAGCTACGGCAAGAATGAGGTATGACTGTTCTCCCTTTGCTTTCCTTTTCGTCTTCCTCAAACTACAGTGCACATGAATAGACTAACGCGGACACTAGGTATTCATCTCCGACACGGCTCAACAAAAGTTAGGGCCGGTCTACGAGAAATTCAAGGAGGCTGTCGAAAAGACTGCTGCGCTTTTGGGCGAGCATTCAATCCCTTTCTGGCATCCCCGCTATCAAGGCCACATGTGTACGGACATGACCATGCCAGGTCTCCTAGGCTATTTCATGACGATGATCTATAATCCGAACAATGTGGCCGTCGAGGCAAGTCCATTCACCACAGTCGTGGAGCTGAAGGTGGGACAGCAACTATGCGAAATGTTTGGATATAATATACATGAAGAGGTCACACACTTGCCTCTGTCTTGGGGTCACATCACCTGTGATGGGACTGTGGCCAATCTTGAATCCATTTGGGTTGGTAAGTAAGCCTTCCAGCCATGATAGCCATTGGCATTCTTCTGACCTACCCATCCGCAGCCCGCAATCTCAAGTTCTACCCCCTTACGTTGTATCAGGCTATGAAGGAAGGACCTCTTGGTTTCATAGCGAACGATTTCCAGGTGACCACCTGTGTTGGAGAAGAGAAGTTGTTCAAAGACCTGGGCGTCTGGGAACTGCTCAACCTCCAGCCCGACGTCATCCTGGACATGGGAGATGCTCTCTATAGACAGTTTGGTGTCACCTCGAAGTTCCTCGAACAGGCCTTGACACCGTTCACCATCCAAACGACTGGCAAGGACGTGCTAGAGCGCGAGTTTCGTATCACGAAGCCCGCCAAGTATTTCCTTGCGCAAACACGGCATTACTCGTGGCCCAAAGGCGGTGGTGCGTATTCTTTTCTCTCCTTCAAAGATCAGTGGCTAACCTCGATAGCGATCGCTGGCATTGGGTCTGCCAACATGCAGGGCGTGGAGCTCGATATGGAGGGTCGCATTTCTCTCGACGCTCTCGAGCGAGAGCTTAATCGCTGTCTCGAAGAACGTCAGGCTGTGTATGCAGTCGTGGCCGTCATTGGAACAACCGAAGAAGGTGGGGTGGATCGATTGCATGAGATCCTGGCCATGCGTCGTCGGTTCCAGGACCGGGGATTGTCGTTCTTGGTGCATGCGGACGCTGCCTGGGGTGGTTACTTTGCCAGCATGATCCCCCGGAAAATGATGGACCCGAATAAGCCCAGCGACGATAATGATGGAAATACCGCGGTGGACGAGGTCCCCTCCTTAGCGTTGAGGCAGGACACGCTCACCGATATGATCGCACTCAAGGAGGCCGATACCATCACGGTAGACCCTCACAAGGCCGGCTACATCCCCTATCCCGCGGGCAGTTTGTGCTATCGGGATGGTCGCATGCGGTTTTTGGTCACTTGGACCAGCCCATATCTGACGCAGGGGTCGACAGAGAATATCGGCGTCTATGGGGTTGAGGGCAGCAAGCCCGGTGCCGCAGCCATGGCGGCTTGGATGTCCAACCAGACCATCGGCCTCAGTCCCAGCGGATATGGTCGTCTCTTGGGTGAGGCAGCCTTTACTAGTGCGCGGGTAAGACCTCTCTTTCTCTCTCTGTGGATCCTGTGGACTACCGTTTTCTGACTTTTGCAAGCTATCCGCCTGGTACGCCGCCATGCACGTTGACCAGCCGGGCTGGAAGGAAAAAAGGCCTTACTATATTATCATTCCCTTCAACCCGTTGCCAATCGAGAAGGAGGGCAAAGACACCTTGAGCGACGAGGTTAACAGCCGTCGAGAGTGGATCCTCAAGAATGTGATTGAGAAGAGCAATGATGAAATCAGTAAGGAGGAGGAGATCATGAATTGGCTGCGTAATATTGGCTCCGACCTCAATATCAACGCCTTCGCGATCAACTGGTATGATGAGCAGGGCAACCTCAACACGGAGTTAGAAGAAGCCAACTATCTGATGAGGAGAGTGGTGAACCGATTGTCCATCACCACTACCCAGGGCAAGCCTGAGAAGCCATCACTGTTCCTGACTTCAACGCAGTTCGAGCCAGCCTTGTACGGCCAATGTGCTCAGAATTTTATGCGGCGTCTCGGACTTGCTCCCTGCGCGCAGGATCTTTGGGTCTTGCGAAATGTTGTGATGAGCCCTTTCCCTACCACCAGAGACTTCATCAGGACGCTGATGAAGGAGGAACTCGAGAGAGTGATCATTGAGGAAGTGAAACACTGTCGCACACGGAACAGCCGCGAGCAGAAGGAACTCGAGTTCCTTCTTCGGGGAACCGATGAAGTCTTCCTGGATTTCCAGACGAGCTTCCACCGCGCTACTCAACGCCAGCAGATCATTTTAGCCGCCACGCTGGCGGAAGGCACAATGAAGTCCTACAAAGCGCTCAAGGACAGATTTTCGGTCCAGGACATTGTATTCAAGTCCAAGGAGTCCCAGAATCTCGAGGAGTTGATGACGAAGATCAAGAACGAAGCAGACCCTAAGACAGCCACGAACCAGCCCATCAAGATAGATGGCGTGATCAGCGCCCGCGAGGGTGACACGTTCATCGGCACTCCCATCCAATGTACCGTGGAGATGACTCGCGTTGTTATCAGTCGTCCTTTGAACTCGGCCAATCGCGACGACCACTATCCACGACACTTTATGCCATTCTATCTGTACGGCGCTGAGGAACAGTATCATATCTCGCATATGCTGCTGCAGGCACCTAACGTGAACCTGTCTGCCTCTGAGGTCAAACTCGACAAGGAGCTCCTCAAGATAGTGCGTCCTCGACTGCGCAACCACAAAGCTCTCATCCTCACCTTAACGGGGTACCGCGAGGAAACGATGCATCCATTCCCACCGAAGAACGACGATCCTGTCCTCTTGAGTAAGGACTTTTTCTTCCGCCCGGGCAAGGTCTTCAACGTTAAAGTCTACGAGGATCCCAAGGCGGAGGATGCCAAAGGCCCAGGATTAATTGACAACCTCGGCACCCCTATTGCACGAGGAACGATGACGTTGCGCTCGGATGTGCACGTCGATGTGGAGACCCTCAATCGAGACCCGCTGGAAACGAAGGAAGAAGGCGTTAGGTGGGATGCCAAGCTGGACGAGATTAAAGATGTTTTCGAGGAGGGCCGCAAGATGGCATCCGGCATGGCACCCCAAGCTGCAGTGTAAGACATCTCGATCTGTCATGTAGTCTTCTAGGTTTCCTAGGAGATAGTTGTGGTCAATCATGAGCGACAGTCGAGTACAACAATATACGAGATTATTTAACGCAATCCGTACTATTAACAAAGGATTCGGGATAGATACTATGATTTCACTAAGTGTACATATACACACCACTTCGACTAGACACATGAAGACCTATATATGCTGTACAGTGATCCGGGCTGATCCGCACCGTTCGTCCAAGCCCCATAATCAACAGCCTAAGCCTTGAGACCAGCAACCAGCTTGTCACCGATCGACTTGATGCTGTCCTCGAACTCCTGGGTCGTCTTGGCCTTCCAGTTGGCACTCTTTCCAGGAACGGCATCCTTGCCGGTGAATCCGATATAGAGGACATCGTTGTCATCATGACCACTATCACCATCGGGGTTCTCATCGGAGAAGCAAAGCTCCGCCATAGAAAGGGAAGCCTCGCCAGTAGAAGTGCCACCGTTGGTGTCACCCCAGATACCGTAATGCTGAATAACTCAAATTAGCTGGCAATGTCCCTGGGGAGGATAATATACATACCAGCTGGCCCTTGCACACAACCGCCATAACACTCAACGGCTCCATTCCGTGGTCCTGAGGCTTGAACTCGGGCGAGTCGTCCTCGTTTCCAAACACAATGTAGGGATGCAGATTGGCATCGAGGTCGGAAATTCCGAACTTCTTGACCTCATCCTTGAAAGCGGTTTGACCTTGACCGGAGGGGTCATTGGAGCACTTCCCATGAGAGTTGTTGGCTCCATCGCAGTCGACATCCATGTTCGTGTACTGGCCACCCTTGGCAGAGGAGTGCATGAAGATTGCTCCCTCGATGTCACCGCAGTATTCGAAGGAGTTCCCATCGCTGTGGCCACCGTTGGTAAAGCCCCCCTTCAGTACGTTTGAACATTTTCCCTGTAGAAATGTAAATATTAGACACTAACGTCCGTGATACAGGATTGAACGACGGTAGAGTGATGTACCTTATGCTTATAATAGATATCCCTCAAGTTGTCTGGGATATCATATGCGGTGGCACCAGTGACCAGAGCAACAGCGAGGAACTCAGAAAGACGCATTGTGTGTGAAAGGAACAGCAGATTGCTCGATGAGAATTTGGAGTTGGGGAAGTAGGTCTGTTGATTTCACGGTTATTCTGCAAGAAGTGTGCCGGTCTTTATACATTATCTAACGCTGCGACCATATGATTCTGGAGCCATGGATACTGCTGGGAGAACGTACTACGAAGCATCGCCCCCAAAACGATCGACGCATTGTAATGTAACGCTGTCATGGCTCCGGGTGAGCCAGTGCCCCCTTAGTTGTGAAGTGACCCCATTGATCTGCACTTCCAATCTTCCTTCTAAGGCTTCCCCTGAAGGTATGGCCCCAGCATGCCAAATGGCGCACCATGTTTAACTCGCGGGCCCAGGTGGTCCTCAGGCACAAGGCGAATAATCAGTGCAATAGAAATGGCCAGGTCCTGATGCATCAGGTCATCAGCTTCATTCCTTCGAGACGATGTAACCCTGAATCCAGCATGGCACCGGCTTGCGAAATTGCTCTCTGTTGGCGGGTATCCTTATCAATTAGAGGAGAATTATGATCACCTACTACACCTTCACTGGATCGTGTCCCAGTCCTCTTGCTTCAGAGGGGACTCAGATGCCGGGGAACAGTCTAATGATTATACTATGGTTAAACGGGGGCCCAGTTGTCTTCCAAGAAGCTAGTGGAAACCAAAAAACGGTTCTAGCTGCTAAGCTGTTTCTCCGCAGAGACACATGGGACCCCTTTCGCGACGCGGGTCATGGCAGGCCAATCATAGTTCTGTTGTCGAGTGGTTCCCCCAGGCGGCAAGTGGCTCTATGGGTAGTTTCTATTTCTAGGAAGCTGCAATCTCGGTTGATATCGTACCGTGAGAATCCTTCAGCTTCTGCAGGAACGTCGGCTCCTCCCGAGTTGTTCGGCTGGCTCCCGATCCGCTTCGATCGGCAGCTTGCCGATGGTAGATTCGTATCGGTGTTGCCGACAATATCAGCCACGTGTATGTACCTGATGCCTTCATACGTTGCTTTCCTTACGGGATCTACATTGATGGGGGTGGTGATATGAGGATATACACATACTGTCCTCAGTACGAAAACAAAGCAACACACTCGGTTACGCCTCGGCCGCTACATGCTTCCGATACATGGACATCCTGGCTCCGGAGTACATCTAGAGAAGGTCGGAAGCTGCTTACTAGTTCTCGCATAGTTCACGGGTGCAGAATTGGTATAGATATCATAATAATATTATTTAGGCGACAAAGGCGAATGGTCACTTTCTCAGTCGTCACAAATCTAGTATCCTAAACACAGGAAAAGGAGCTGAACCCAGCGTGTTCTAGTGATCTACGCCTCCTAAATCGTCGCAAAGAATTGGAGCTAGCACCCTGTGTCTGGTGGATCTGAAGCCTCATGTTGCCTTGTCTATCGATATCGTGGACTGGGCATCGGTCATGCTTTTTTCGATGCTTTCCGACGTCCACCCTTTTCATGGTTCCTGTCCACAGTTTTCCGTTTGCTGGGTTTAGCTGACTTGTCTGACGCTCCTACTGTTTTACCATCTGCTAGCATCTGGACCAATGTCTCGATGCGCTTCGCTCGGCGCTGCGGAGTGATCCACTGAAGCTGAACCAACACCGAGTAGCGGTCTGACCGATTCAATCCTTCAAAGAACGTTGAGGCTGCCGGCGTCTGTGTCAGTGCAGCGGCGAAATCTTCTGGCACGGTGATACTGGCCGGGCCATCGTATGCACGAGCCCAGCGACCATCCGCCTGTGCAGCTTCGACCACGGCCAAACCGGCTGGCCGCATACGACCGGCGTTGAGTAACGACTCGACGGTCGTCACGTTTTTCTTGGACCAGATGCTCTTCGCACGTCGTGGGGTATATCGTACCAGCCACCAGTCCTCATCGTACGCGTGCGCACGACCATCGATCCATCCGAAACACAATGCGGTCTCCACCGCTTCATCGCGAGACACGGATGGAATGCCTGAAGACTTTTTGGCCAGCTTCACATAGATCCCCGGAGATGTGGCATGCTCCCGCTCGAGAAATTGTTCAAAGTCAGTGGCTGATCTAAAGGGGTGAGTCGGAAGATCCGATGGTTCTGCTTTTGCTTGTGCCTTCGGCATTATGGATGTGGTCTGGAGCTTCCCGAAAGCCGAGGTAGTCAACACGCGAGAAAAAGTTCTAGACGTGGGTACACGGCTAAGGACGCGCATTGGATGGCTGTGGAGTGGTGAAAGTCTTCAATCCTTGGATTGTCGATCTTGGGTTTCCACGCCCCACGTGGTGTCAGCTGAGGCCATGTGACCCGGGTTGCCCGATTGGGCAACCCGGTCCAGGTTGACATTCGAACGCGATGCAGGAACAGTAAGTTCTCATTCTGCTTCTATATCAGTCTATGTGATGTATATACAGGAGGAAATAACGACCAGCGCGAGATAGCCAACAGTCGAGAGATGTCCATTGGTCTAGACAAACAAAAGTAGGATTCCGTGCAGTCATGCCAACAACGTCATCACACACGCCTCAACAACTCGATGGGCGTTTCAATTAGCAACACTAAGCAACCACCTTGTCGGGGATACCACGTCGTCGACGGTCAATGCGTAATCGGCGTTTCCATTTGATGCGACTCTTCCGCAGCGAGCGCTGTGTGCGCTCCCAAGGGTAGTTCACTGGCGACTCACCACCGGTGAAGATCATGAAATCATACAGAAACGCACCGATCATAGCACCGCATAGAGAACCGGCCCACGGCCCGTAAAACCAGTAAGGGTTCGTGAACAGTTCGGACCCGTACCCGAGCGCGAGAAGGGCCAGGCGCGGCCCGAAGTCTCGACTGGGGTTGAAGGCAGCGCCTGTCTGGTAGGAGAAGGTGTTCGAAAGCACGAACACCATGAGCCCAACGATCAACGAGTTCATGCCCGCCCCGGGTGGTGCATTCTGGTCGTCACCCAAGGCCAGGATCGTCGTGGCCGTGAGCACCGTCCCGAGTAGTTCCGTAAAGAAGGCCGTTGCTGGGTCAATCCATGATTGACGCTGGCCCGTTACGAAGCTGGTCACAATCCCCGTATCTTGGTGGGTAAGGAGATATTGATGAATGGATTGGTAGTATACACCGTAGGCTGTCAGGGCAGCAACAAATGCACCCACGAACTGCGCTAGGAAATATTCAGGCATCTTACGTTTGGGGAAGCCACGATAAAACCATAACATAATCGTAACACTGGGATTGAGATGGGCACCAGAGACACCACCGGAGATATAGATCGCCATCATGGTAGCAAAGCCCCATGCCCACGCCGTTGTATTAGGATTACCAGCATCGGCCACGGTAACAGAGATATCAGCACAGAAGCCAATGGTCAGCTGGACAAATACCGCCAGGGATTCCGCTAGCGCCTCACGATGGTGAGTGCGAATAACGGACCAGGTCGTATGATTGTTGTGTACTTCGTCTTCCACCAGCCCCTGCACTAGCGGGTGCAGATCGTCCGGAAGTGTTGATTCATGCAGCGCCAATAGATCGGGCAGCGCATCCCCCACGGCAGGGTCCGCCTCCGGTTGCTCTGGCACGGGCTCAAGTAATTCGTCCCTCCCATGAAGTTGGCCTTCCCCAGCGTGAACGGAGCCTACGCTCGGGGCCGCGCTCGGCCTTTCTGGCACTGTCGAAAGCTGATCGCTCGAGGCATCAATCCGCACTGACGGGCGGCGCCGGCGAGTAGAGGAAGTCCGGGATATGCGTGATGGACCAACATCTCCAGTGAGAACTTTATTGACAAAGTTATTTTCCCGCTGAAGGCGGGCGTCCTCTACCTGCGCTGCCATTTTCCGGGGGTCTGCCATTTTGGGAATTTGGCCTTGCTCCAAGTCATTCGGATTCACATCGAGTCCCAGCTTCTGGGAGTTTTCAGCCGGACGCTCTGGTTGCAACCGCGCATCAAGCAACTCCTCCTTCGTGGGCACCATGCCGGCCCGCACTACACGCGGCAAGGGCTTTGCGAGAGACCAGATGGGCTTCGCATTTGCGGCCTGTTCATAAGAGGGGTTGAGGTCTGAATACCCCGGCTGGACAAAGGGTTCGTGTGCCTGCCACAACTGTGGACCGTCCTCTGGGCCCCCTATGGTGAATTGCCCTTGCGTGCGCTCCGCTAGAGTCGTTCGCTGGGCCAAACTGCCTGTCCGTACGGAGCGGACAATACTGCGGCGTCGCATCCCGTCCGACTCACCACCATCTCTGGAGGTGTCCACTCCTGAAGTGCGACGCGTGGGAGAGCTATAGTTGGCCGTGTCACTCACGCCGCGTCTCGGTGAGCCCGGTGACGTCTCCCTGTTGATTTCTAGTCTACTCTGGCTGGTCCCTTCTGACTACACCAATCGCGATTCCGCGTTAGTTAGCAAGAAGCTGTGAGCACTGTGAGATGGGTTGGGCCAATCCCTGATCAAGGAACTCACCCTAGCTCGGGGGCGTCTTGGGCTGCTGTCGTCCATGATTGCACATTTCAATGTAACTCAGCAAGGTGATGTGTCACTATCGCTAGTCGAATCTCGAGGACAACGCCACAGTAACGGGCAGAAGAGAATCTTGGGCTGGTTGACTCAACTGCAAAAAAGCTAGATAAGGACAACACGAGATTTTTTTTCCCGATGAGCGCAGGGAAATCTGCCGAAAGTTGAATCAATGAGCTACTCTATGATAGGAAATGAACAGCGTTCTAGCGCTCGCCGAGTACTTCAACAAGCTTTCGTCAACGAAGTGGTGGAGATTTTCCGCCAGAAGTGGAGCCATGTTGACAAGATCTAGAGCTCTACTCGGTCAATCACAGGGTCTCTCGCAGTAGCCAACGCGCCGGTTGAGCCGGTTGCTCTGTAGCGCCGTGCCTCTGACATTTCGTCCCACTGCATCTGCCTTCTTGTCCAATGGATTGCTTCGTTGCTTTGAGACTGTGAAAGCAAACGGTTTCTGACGTCAATACTGGCCTTCACTCTGATCTCGAGAACACCATCATGATGACCACAGAGTCAGAATGCCTGTTTGCTATGATACAGACTGCTTCGTCAGTACGATTTCATGAGGCCTTGTCAAGATCGGGTTATGGGGCTTCATTAGGGTCAAGGGTTTGACACCACGGAAATCCGCCACAGGTCATGATACAAGTATGCTACGCTCTGCATTGAACGGGATTGCTATCCTCGATCCAATCGGCATTCCTCGTTTTCCTCGGCGCGAGAATTAGTTCGTTTGTATTGTTAATTTTTTTTTTTTTTTTTTTTTTTTTTTTTTTTTTTTTTTTTTTTTTTTTTTTTTTTTTTTTTTTTTTTTTTTTTCTCCGACAGAATAAAAGAGCCCCATTTGGTGCGCCACTTCCCCTGAGTGGCAACGACACAAACCAGGTTATCAGCCTGGCCAACTTAATTCGTAGCATTACCCTCCAGGGGCAATCTCTCTAATATCCTTCCCTACTGAGTAAACTTCGTTTTGTAAGATTGAAACCCTGAGGCTAAGACAAATTCCTGGAAAAAAGGGGTAAAGGAAAAAATTTTGCCGAGGGGCCGCAATATCCGGAAATCTCCACTCTGATGCCCCAGCACCGAGTTTCAGTCTGGCAGATATCCACGGCTGGCCGGTGTCAACCAATACAATTAAGGACTCTGTGGTACTAGATGAACTCGTCCACTCTTGGCTTTGCGTCCAATGAGCGGAGGAAGGAAATGATCTTTACAATCAAGGGCCAATGTGGGCGACAGTAGAAAATGCAAAATATATATATTTCGGTGTCACTAGTGCATATCCATATCTAGCTAGATTACACGCTGGGAAAAGGAACCAAGAGTGCATTTGAGACCAACGTTGTAATTCTTGCTATTGTCGCAAGGTTACGATAGCCTTCAGTACCTACAAATCTCCGACGGTTGAGCTCAATCTCAATTGCCAGGCTGTATATATAAACTATCTTCGCCCCATTCTTCAAAGCAAAGAATAACCCTAATAAGGATCACCAAAACAGACCAGAATGTTGCCACGACGTTTGTCAAGTTGTAAGAGCACACGAGACTATAAGGGATGGATTGATAATCTCTACGACGATGGAATATTGCACATCTTGACAGCTTCTTTCCCCAGCCGTGTCACTGGCTTATGTGAACTAGTCGTCAATTCGATCCTAGAGTTTAGAATTATACTGGCTGATGTGGTCAGGCACCATCCGCACTCGGTGGAGAGCATTTGCATCATCGAAACCCTTCATGAGCTGGTTACGAGGCGTTTCCCCATGCGGTACTTCCCGCCACTGGAATCTGCGCAGCATGTCTGACTCGATCCCCATCACCTTGTCGGCGACGAACTCGCCAAGTAAAGGTAGGAACTTGAAAGCGTGACCACTGCCACCTGTAGCCACAATGACCCCTTCCTTGCCTGGGATGCTATCAATCACCCAATTGTTATCAAACGAGTCCGTGTACCAGCACAGTCTGGTTTGTGAGATTCCGATCCCACCCTGCTTCAATTCGGGAAGATACTTGTCTAGAAAGCTCTGAACGACCTGGACGGACTTCTCCGGCAACCCGGTAATGAACGGCGATGTCCACTTCGTGATGGGGACACTACGCACTTGACCCGACTGGACTTGTTGTGGATTCGTATACTTAGTCCCTCTGTACCCGATCTTCATCACACCGCGACTATCCAGCGGGAATCCGTACAGATTACCATTTTCCCCGGCCCGCGTATTCCACTGGAACACGGGAAACTTGTCCGGTGAGAAACGTTCCCGCAGGGGAGATCCTTCTGGGATCTGGATCATGGCGATGGATCCGGCTGTGGTCTCGCAGAGGCCATCAATCTCAGGAACCAGACTGGGTGTCCAGCCTCCACACGCAACAATCGTCGCTGCGGCCTTGTGCTGTTTGCCGTCGGCCGTCTTGATGCCGACCACTCTGCCTGCTGGATCTTCTAAGAAGCTTTCAAAGCTACCCGCCTGCCTATCCAGGACCAGTTTCACACCCAGCCCCTTCGCGAGATGGAGGGCATAGGTGCAAGCTTTGTCAGCATAAACAAATCCACCGATCATATCCAGATAGCCCTGATATGCTCCATCTTTGGAGAGACCGAACGGATCCACCGCGTAGCTAAACCCATTCGCCCTGGCGCGTGCCACCTCCTTTGGACCGGAATACAGCAGGTACTGTGTATGGCCGTGACCAGCCTTCGTAATGTTGTCCACCGACAGCTTCTCGAAGTCGTTGAGACCATTGGCCGCGTCCCCGAAATGATAATTACCACAGTTGACATAGATCCGGTCATTGCTTGCCATTCCTGGTGGCATTATTGTTCCTTCTGTGAGAGACCGGTTCCATGATTCCCAGGCCTCGATTGCCTTGAGAGTCAGATTCTGGTACCAAACCTCGTCACCATACGCTGCACGGATGATCTTGTTACAGTCTGCATTTTCTGTCAGAAATTGCCGCATGAGCCTTGTAAGTGACCGGTGTATTTACCTGCAGAAGCCGCATCGCAGCCTTTGTCGAAGTCGTAGTGTGTCTGATGGTATGGCTGTCGGTCGAAGACCGTGATATCTGTGAATCCTCTCTTGGCTAGATGGATGGCACTGCTGAGGCCAAAGACACCTGCACCCACAATCACAATGGGTGACTGTTTGTCCTTTAGAGGTATGTGATATGCCATCGTAGAAACTCAGGGGGTCCAAAAAGAGGTACCAAACAGTGTCACTGACACAAAGTAAAATGAACAGGTCAGAGTCAGCCGTACTCCAATCTTATATCGGAGGTGGATCACCCGTTTGGAGCTCGATGTATCTATCACGATGCAACCCCACCCGAGGTTGTGGGGGCACCTAAAAATCGCTTTTATTTCCGATCAACCTGGCTTGCGACTATCTGAAGGCGACTGAGTCATAAGCTAGAATGGTAGTATCTTGTGCATGCCGGGGGAAGGAAAGCGCTCGGGAAGACGAGTGGTCCAGCGTGGTTGTTCACTGGCTGCTTTTTCGAAATGGATCAGCGCCGCGTTACGTGACACGATGTCGGTTGTCGGAAGGTTCCGCCGCGTTTTGATACAGGCATATTACCTAGAAAGGCAATATATCTCTACCTCCGTTGGTATAATCTTCAGAAAGACCGTTGTCAAACTGCTCTTTGGCCTGAGTTTGAATACCAGAATTCCAGGTCACGGACCCAGCAGCTCAGGTATCGCTTTCTCGGAGACAACACCGATACTCCAACGCCGACTGGACCTTCCCCGTTCGTTCAATGGACGAGTGATCCGTGTCGAGGGCACTGATCCTGGTGGTAGAAGTTGTCAAGTGAAGTGCTCATGGCGTGCGGGGAAGTTGATATCGCAACCCTTTGGCGGGCGGGTTCAACCGACAAGGAATTGCCGTCTCGGTCGAATCTGGCCCTAATCGTATCGATGCCGCTCGCTGGACAGCAACAACGACCTCAGATTAGTGTCTAATACCATCTACAGACTCGATAAGATAATATGATGAACCGTGAGTGAACGACATGATAGGATATGGCCCCTCAGTATGACGTCCGGCTCAAAGCCTGCCCATCTTCCGCGTCACCACAAAGCATATCGACCGACGGCTACTCCTCATGGGTACATACCATGGTAGCAATATCTGCCTGGCTCGGGCTGATCGGGTGATTAGTGGTGTAGAGCTGTGGGTATTGAAGCTGGCCATATAAGAGCCTATATTGGCCTGTGTTTCCGAGTTTCCGTCCATTGCCTTCACACATCTATATTGATCTTAAAGCGCACTTGCCCGTGCACAGTCATGGAATCCCGGACCTTGAAGAAGGAAGAGCTAGAGCTCGTGGTTTCTAACTCTACTACCAAAGAAGCGGGCACTGTGTCAGGAGAATCTCTCAGAATCGATCCGTCCATCGAGAGATCCGTCCTTCGAAAGTTGGACTTCAAGTAAAGCAAGGACCTGGCCTATGTGTGAAGTACATCCATCATTGACGCCCGAATCTAGACTTCTTCCCGTCCTTTCTTTGATGTACTTCTTCAACTCCCTTGATCGGAGCAATCTGGGGAACGCGAAGACTGAAGACTGATGGCATTGACGAAGACCTCAAGCTGGTTGGCAACCAATACAGTATTATCCTTGCCGTTTTCAATGTTACGTTCTCTCTGTTTGATCTTCCCTCCAACCTGCTGCTGAAGCGATTCAGCGGTAAAACTATGCTTCCTATAATGATGCTCGGCTGGTAGGTCACTGACCTTCATCATTCAAAATGGTATTAGTATAGCCATGTTGACAGTTCCGTAGGGGCAGTGTTACGCTTCTGCAATGTGCGGCGTTCAACTTTGCTGGAATGCTCGTGTGTCGACTCTTCATGGGCATTTTCGAAGCGGGCTTCTTCGGTATGCATAAAACAGCCATTGAGTGACAGAATCATGGCTAATGACATACTCAGCTGGGGTGATCTTCTACCTGACACAATTTTACAAACGAAATGAAATTGCATTCCGACTCTCGATATTTTACGGCATGGTTACGATCGCAGGTAGGCTTTAGATCCGCTACGTAAAACAGTACAACATTGCAACTAACGGCCATTTACTTCCATGGACGATAGGTGCATTCTCCGGCCTCATCGCCTTTGGTGTCTTCCAGATCGAACAGCACCTCCCCGGCTGGAAGTACCTGTTCTTGATCGAAGGCGGTGCGACTATGATCATCGCCACCTTTGCTGCCTGGTGGCTCCCCCTCAGTGGCTCCCAATGCCACTGGTTCAACGAAGCCGAATCTCAAGTGGCACAGATGCGTCTGCTACAAGACGGGTCCGTCCGAACAACAGATCATCTTTCCATTACCGACGCTCTGGCCGCCCTGTTGGACTGGCGGGTCCTCGTCTGGGCCGTTAGCTGCTTTTGCTTCGGTGTTGCCCAAAGCTCTGTCAGCAATTTCCTTCCGCAAATGGTGGCTCTCCAAGGCTACTCCGCAGTGAAAACCAATTTATATACGGTGGCTCCGTACTGCGTCGGGACCGTTGTCCTGTGGATCATTGCCAAGTCCTCGGATCATTTTCGAGAACGCTCGTTCCACCTGGCGGCCGCGCTGATCATCACGTTTGTTGGATACATAATTCTCGTCACTGTTGATGCAGATACTAACAAAGGGGTGGCCTATTTCGCGTGCTTCCTCCTTGCGGCCGGTGCTTTCGTACCAAGCAGTATCTTCCATAGCTGGCATACCAACAACGTCACAGACGAGAGCCAGCGAGCAGCGACGGTAGGGTTCTTGGTCGGGGCAGCGAATTGTGCGGGCATTCCATCAAGCCTGTCATTTAAAGCGGATACCGCACCGAGGTACATGCCTGCGTTAATTGTCAACTGTGTCTTTCTCTTGGTGGGTGCGTGTGTGGTGATAGGGTTAGGGACATGGTTCAGGATTGATAATCGAAGAAGAGACAAGGAACAGGGTGTACAACTGACGGCAGGTGATGTTGCGACCCAGAATCTGGTAGGAGGCTGGAAGGACCCCAATTGGAGATGGACTCCTTGAGAATGGACACCTTCCACTTGGTGTCTAGCAACAGGAATTCGGGATTGGCATTTCGACTTGGGCCGGCCATCTTCGGTAGTTCTGTTTTCACTCAGCAACGAGGATCTGAGACCACTATTTAGGGTGCCTGGGACATAGGACCTGTAGTGAGATAGGCAGTATTGAGTAAACTTTGTGGGATAGATAACCCGCTGGTGGAGAGAATCATAGAGCAATAACTCGCCTGCTATCCTTAGCCTGCTAAACTAGGCTGCGCTCTGTACCATAAACGTACCTTTATACTACAAGCACTGATACCTCAGTCTGCGTTTGTTGTAGAGGTTTCACAATGCTAGTTGGCTTCCTCTGCTACTGAACTGACATAAGGCTTTCAACCCATGAAAGTAGCATATTCTATTTCTCTATCTCTATATCAATACCAATTAACTTTGGAAACATATGCAGGGGCGCTGAACTACAACCCAATCGTCAACGATACTCCTTCACGGGAGACAAGGGCTGGCTGGCTTCCTTGATCGCGTTCTTGAACTTGGCCGAGAAGGGGTTGGGATCACTATCCTGGTTGGGACTCCCAAGCGTGTGATTCACATCCCGGTGGTTCGCCTCGTCAGCGCGCACATACATCAACAGAGAACGGATAGATCGTTGGCCCTTGGGCATCTGCCAGTACTTGATTGCCATTGCTGGAGCCTCCATATTGCTCCAAAGGGGTAGGTTTCCCCGGTCAAGCTCCTGGATCGCTTTGGTATACGTGATCACAGCTTCTTCCTCCAGGTACCCAACAAACCGATGACATATCCGGGGAGAAATCAGGTAGGCGAGCGAGAATCCCGTAAAGAAAACGCATTGTGCTGCTAGGACCATGAAGTGCATGGCAGGCCCTGGTTGGGATAGTTTAAGGAAGGTTAAAAGGTGCATCCTTTCATTATAGGCCTCTTCTAGGAGGGTCTCGATCCTATGCAGTTGCAGCGGAACAGTTAGGTACATATCCTCGAATAGTGTTTCAAATAGGTTCGTATAAGGGCTCGCCGCAACTTACCATCCATAATCTCGCCTCATCCTCCTTAAACTCTTTAGGTGTCGCAGCATAGCAGCTACCATCCCGGGAACGCCCGCAACGCTCTCCAGGAAAATGAATCTTGTAATCCATTTTTGTTCGGTCATTCGGAAGCGAGAGTGTACGTCGCGTCGACGTGAATGATGGTACCCTGTGACCAAGTCCATACTCCATCGTAGAAAGCGGACAGTTCCCAGAGCCATTTTATCTGGCCAGCCTTCGGCGTTGCGATGAGCCGTCTGAATAGACTGAAGTTGAGACATTGTGTATCTGTATGCAGTGTAAGAACGTGTTGTGCCACTCTCGAGTTTACATTGAACTTGCTAGTGAAATTGATGGTAGGCGAGGAACAAGTTTAGACTTACACCGGGTGGGTCCATGATGACTTTGTAACGAGGGGAGACTGTGTACTCTGGGATCTTCTCCCAGGCATGACTGCTGTCCATGGGGAAGCCCGTGTTCGCGAATGCTTCCCAATCAATTGTGCTGAGTTGCCAGCGACCAGACGGGTTCTGTAGGGGCAAGTGACATTTAAAAACAAAGACGCCATGGTTGAGAAAGGGCACAGGGGATAAGTGAAGTGGAAATGGTATGTCTTCAGAATGATACGCAATTTGAGGCCCAGTGATGTCTTTTTGTCTCATTTGAAAGTCCACCACGCGGCATGCCCAGGTATTTATAAGCCATGGAGTGTGCAACGAGGCCTAGGTTTCGAGTAGAGCCTTGAGCTTGGGGAACACCCATCAGTGTGCCCACACAACGCATTGAGAGCGATTGCCAGGATTGTAGTCCTGGCGCTGGCTCCCCCAGATTCTAGGCATCGCCCCCCTCTGATTGACGCATCACCCTTGAGAACCAACCAGTGAGTCACTGGATGTCGTTGAGGGTATGTTGAGGATTGCCGTTGCGGCTCAACGAGGATTTCCCGGAGGCATTCACTGAAATAGTAGCCAGTTAGAGGCTATCAACGGGACAGGGAGACTAGAATCGTGTCGTTAACTTCGTGATCAATTCCTATGTTCTCCAGTCTACCGCGTACCCCGGGTCCTGCACCGCGCAGGATGTGCTGTACACGGCAGCATCGATCATGTTCGCAACTTAAGGTTAAGATGACCATGCAGATCTCAGACTTCCCAGGCTTTCAATTCATGATTCGGTATTACCAAACCCCAATCCATCTTCTCGGCTGATCTAGAATTCGTCGGTCATTGCTCGGCATGACAAGCCGAGAAAATACCGAAAGTTCAGCAATCGGGCATCCCTTCACTCGATGGTTCGTGTTTACTTCATGATTTTGAACGAGTTTCACATCAAGACAGCCCAATCGTATCCAAGGACGAGTACAACGAAACATAGCGGGTATCATGATGGTTGCTATGTTGTCTGTTGGCCTCGTCCAGACGGGGTTGAGATTCTGCTGAGCTCAGCGGCACGTGACGCAGCCCTTCTTGTTTGTGTCTTTCGTCTGTCGTCGACGACTCGTTGTTACCACCAAACACAACTCACCCACTGAATTCCCGTCTGAACGTGTTTCCATAATCTCTCTACTACACACTGCGAGACCCGCGAATCCCAACGTCCCTGCGGTTGGTAGCCTCCGAGTCACCCACGCGTTTGCTCTTAATGTTCTATGGCACCCATTCGTCCGCCAGCCCTTCTGGTTCACTATTGACACGCACGAGTCACGAACGCGATAAGTAAATATCATACAACGCGGGAAACAGTGGCATGACGCCGCCGAGAGAGCAATGATGGTTTTCTTCTCGGTGTCGCTGGGGGCGACCGCTTGAGGTGACATGGTGATCATTGGGTATGGGCTACCCGGTCGCAAGGCGATGGCGCGAACCAGCGAGTATGTTGCGCTTCGATAGCCTCGAGAATCTGCAAGGAGGCGGTTCTGGGCTCCCATACCCCGTAATCCTGTCCCTGGTCGCACGACGGCAGTGGGGAATTTCTCTCCAGGAACATGTTGATAGTCTCGATTCATTGACCCTTCGCATTTTACTGAAGCGCGGATGGTACACGGCAACCGCATCAGCTCCAACACCCATTGATCGAACAACATGGGCTCCAATCCCACCGGATACACCACGTTTTGCGCATCATGACAAGCAGCCATCAAGAGACCATTTGCCTTGCACTGCTTGCATTGATTTACTCGTAGCGTGGATGAGTTATGCTAACGCTGACCATATCTGGGAACCCCGAATGAGTAAATTCCAGACGTACCCAAGGATACGCATCGCGAACATTTGCTTTCAAGGCTCCAGAGACTTGTCAAAGCTGCCTCGGAGCTTCGCCTACTCGTCGTTTTTTCCAGCCCCGATGCACTGTAGGAGTAAAGATATCGAACCACTGCCAGTGACCATTGGACGAGTCGCAATACATCGCTTCTCCGTAGTTGGACCACTATCTGTTAGGACGTGTATTCTTTTGACGGTACGCAGGACCGAATATGGGCCCTCATAATCTACTTAAATATTATCGATAATATCACACCAATAATCACGGCGCCTACAGCGCAATGGAAAACCTCGACCTGATAGGACACCGACGTCGCTGGCGTTCTGTCATGTCTGCACCATGTCAGGTTGATATGACAATCGGCGAGCTTGCCAGGGCAGTTCTTCTGGGACCGTACACAAGCTCTAATGCCACAACGACGCAGGCTGTCAGAGCAAGGTGGTATAGACAAGCACCAGAGAATACTCCACTCGGGGAAACTGGACCATCTGTATCAAGGTCATTGGCTAGCCCTGTGCTAATCGACGTGCTCCACAGGGACGGGAAAACAGTGCTGAAGGATGGCTCGGTTAATATTCGGGACTGGTCATCCCATGGCTGGAATCTGGAGTTCAAAGGCGGCGCGAAATCCCCCTGTCGTCCAAACCGTGCTGTGATTGTGATTCGAGGAGAATCCAACTACGTGGTCGAGACCAACGATAGGAGGTCGAGGGCGTGTGGGTCAAGACGGAGGAAGGTCTGTAGGAGGCTGCGGCACTGGTCCACCGCGAATAGATTAAATCCCAGGCTTAGTTTCCGGATGCCAAATGCCGTCTGCCGGGAGCCTGGGAATTATGCCGAAGAGCCATATCTTCCGTAGTCTTCTACAGGAAACATCTCCACGGCTCAGTCCCCGACTGGTGGAGAATGTAGAACAATGTCGCTCAAGCATGGTGATTAAGGGGATGCGCTGTTCCAGAGTCAGACAAGAATAGGGAGTTATAAAAAGAGTTCTGTCCTTGTCAGGTTGGTCGTCCTTCGCTCTCCCAGCAACTCTAACTGCACTCCCAACCAGCAAAACCCGGAACATACTACCTCCGCCATGTATTCTCGCAACCAGGTCCTGGCGGCTCTTGCCACTGTCGGCATCACCTCGGTGGACGCCGCCATGGGTCCCGCACTGAGCACGGGCCCTGTCGCATCTAACTCGTTTATCCGCGAAGTTACTTCGACCCTTGTCTTGCCAAAGGGGCCCAGTGGAGGGTCTACCGATGCCATCACCTCCCTTTGGGTGGGTATGGGCACCTCGAACGGCGACTTGATCCAGTCCATTGCCGACAATTGGCAACAGAGTGACTGGACCATGTATGCCTACACTCTCATGAAGACCGGCGGTTTGTATTGTCTCAATCCTGGTGACCCTGATGCCGGCTAACACCCTTCGTAGACACCTCCCAGATGCCACTGTATGGTGATGGTCAGGCCAATGGAAACGAGGGAGATAAGGTGACGATGCACTGTAAGGAAAAATGACACATCCCTTACGCCCGATGTGCGTGGCACTAATGATGGGCAGACAAATTCGACGATGCCAGTGGAAACTACACACAGACACTCCAGATCAACGGCAAGACTGTCTCGACTCTCTCCACGAGTGACGGACAGGCTCAGGGCTGGGGAAGCTCCGTTGAGTGCGCCGAGAACAACTGTGGCACGGTTGGCGCTCACTGTAAGTGACACTCATTCCCAGGTAGCGCTTCGGAGACTAACGGATAGCTTAGCCTGGACCGACACCAAGATCATTCTTGACGTTGCCGATGCCAATTATATCAACACTCTGGGCAAGGGTGAGGGAGTCACTGGAGGAGACATGACCACCAGCGATGGCGGCAAGACCTGGACTATTAGCACCTTTGGCATTCCGGAGCACACTTTCTCTGACTAAACAGGCCTCTGGAGGGCCTCCTGTATAAAAATTGTCTTTAAAACTCAAAGTATTTTAACATGAACCGGCCGATCGTAGTCCAGGATCGTCTGACGTGAGCCTGACTGGAGGAATTGAAGGAATATGAGGACTAAGCCTGAACACCAGTACTTGTACCTTCACCAATGGGGGTTACACATGCCCTCGAAACCCTAATACTTTCAGGTCCAGGTGCGTGTGAATAGATTTATAATCTGTACACTGTACGGTACCAAGAAATTGTTTCATTAGAATGTCCGACGTTCTTATATACCGTATACGTTTATATTATAGCTGGAGACTTTTCATTAAGGATTACAACTCTGTATACCCAGCTAAGCATAGCCTTTGACCGAAACGAGATTATTTGAGTCTAATCCCCGCGGTAGAGGGTGTCAATAACCATAGTTTTACCTTTTAATAGCATACATGTCAAGCATATTAAGAGACGAGGTTAAACTGCTACTAGAGTCTCCTCTATGCAGGCCACTTACATCAATCAAGTCATTCATTCCATCATCCTCCATACACGGTACTATGACGATGCCGTACGTACAAGAAGGAATAGCTGAACGACGGAAGATAGAAAAATGGCAGGTAGTGGATATAGTCAGGAAAACGAGCGGTGGAGAACAAGCGGAAAGACACGCAGGCTTCAGTCAAGTCAGAAACAGTTTGAGACTCGGGGCTCAGGAAATTCACCACGCGCGAACTTGAGAAGCGACGTGTCGAGGCCTCCCACGGGCATAGACCATCACACAATTGTATTTGGTCTGGAGTATACGCTGCTGGTGATGCACGTCTGTCATACTGTGTGATAGTTGCCCGGAATGATGATTGGGAACATTTGAATCCGCCTGAGAGTAGCTTGCAATAACGATTTGGAATCAAAAATGCGGTCGAAGAGTGAATGGATTAGATACTCCAAAGCGGGAGCGCGGTGCATGAATAATAGACTACATGGCCTTCAGAGATTGGTATTCCCAGTGAGTGAGGTAATGAAACCCTCAGGGTGTCATGCATAGTACAGACGGCGTTATATGGCCATAAAAGCAGAGCTGAACCCCATGACGCAAGGCAACGAAAAAAACAAGAAAAGTAGAACCTGCTAGAACATAACCATGGTGTCTAACCAACTATTGAGGGGAGCGCAGCGCATTAGGTTGGGCACAAACAGGGGACAATTCCTGGTTCTTCCAGAGACAGTTCTATGCTCAGGTTCAGAAACGACCTGAAGCTAGTAGATGTGACCATTCTGCCCTTTTTGCCATTTGTCAACCCTGTCTATTTCCCTTCCAGGGAGATGTGGAGCGTGGACTGGGTTTTCCCTTTTTATATAAAAATAAAATAGAATTCCACATTCATTAGATACATGCGTAGACGGAATGGACGAATACCTTTGATAACATCGTCGTGACTTTTGCTGAATTGCGGTCCACCGTATTACAATATCAATCTTCATCCAATTTGACTTACATTAGGAGCATGGCCGCAATTAAGGTGAACATTAAGACAACGATGGTGGCAGTAGAGATGGGCAACTTCCCTGCCATACTTATAGCGGTAGGGGATGGCCTGGATGGGCTACTTGTGCTGCTCGTCGTACTGCTCGTCGTACTGCTCGACGTACTGCTTGATGTACTGCTCGATGTACTGCCTGACGTACCGCTGGTAGTGATAGTGGCCGAACTACTGGTAGAAGTAGTAGACGTGCTAGAGTTGGATTGGCTGAGGATACCACCTTGTACTGCAGATGGTACACTGTCCCCGTTTGCATTCGACGCTGCCTTTTTGAATGCATCAAGAGTATCCGGGCCACTGGTTCTAAAAAGAAGGTTAGAGATAGTACTCTCCCATGTGTGTAACTACAGACACGCTTACGCAGGGTTAATGACTCCAACCATGCCAGCCTGACAATGCCCTATCTGGCCGCAGTAGAACCAAATCGGCTTGGTATCATTAACGGTCAATGTGAAAACAGTAGACTACGCCGTCAGAGGGCTACGTCATTTGCGTTGAGCTTGAAAAGCTTACCGATTCGCCATTCGCGCTTTGTATAAATCCACTGAAGAAGCTGGTATCGCTCATGGGATGGCATGGGTCGTCAAACGAAGCCTGGGTCACCGAGTGATTACCAGGGTAGAAATGGAATTCGACTTTACCCCCTGAAGCAACGTGAATGGTATCGGGATCAAAGGACAAGCCATGTTCTCCAACATCAACCGATTGTGTAGCATTTGAGGCTGAATTACTCGCGCCGACGAGAAGCAGCCATAGAAGAATAGCAGCGTGAAACGATAACTTCATCGTTGCCACTGAGGTTTGTGAAAAGCCTTAAAGGGACGGTCTGCATCAAAGACTTGAGACTTGCTTTCAAGTACCAGAGTAGCGGTTTCTCCTCATATATATTATTCGATGCAGGCAGTTACTTGCGTAGGGTCCGCGACGCTACCGGCAGCTCATGGTGAGATGTGGAAGCTTTACCATCGCCACGGCGCCACCAACCCGAGACAATTACTGGCACTGATGTCTGCCTTGTCAAAGCTAACTTCGTCCATCAAGAAAGCTTAAGGAGACCATGACCCAAAACAGCAAATGTACATTCACACCCTACTGGGTCGGCTGCAGGGACCTAGACTGACGACATGTCATAGGGTTAGAATCACCGTTGCAGATTGGCCTTCAGACTGCATCGCCTCAACCTGAGAAAGCTTATCAGATCTTAGCTTCTGTTTAAGTTGTGGGGACCAACCCAGGCCCTATCGCATAAGGTTTGACGGGAATGATCAAACTCTTTTTCAGTGCAGAGGGGAAATACTTTCTTCGAAGGCATTCGTGTGAAAATTGGTCCTCTCTGGCCAAGACGCGGCCGGTCATAGTGTCCAGCGACCACGGACCTCATCCAGATAAAAGCCAACTTGGATACCGTGTCATGTTTGCTTAGCTAGGTGAGCAAAATTTATCGTGAGGAGTCCAGAAAACCACCACATCAAAATGCTAAGGGCATATAGTTATGTCTGGCTATGCATTTTCGCTTCTACTCTTGCCCAGCTCGAAACCTTCACGCCTCCTGGACAAGATGGAATCACGTACAGTGTTAATATCCCTCAAGTCACCGCCTCCTCAGGATCTGGTCCAATTTATTTCCAGCTGCAATCCACCCGCCAGCTCCAGTGGTTTGCATGGGGCCAAGGCTCCCGGATGCAAGGGGCAAATATCTTTGTTGTCTATGCATCTGGAGACGGTTCGAACGTTACCGTCTCTCCACGGCTAGGTGTGGAACATGTTGAACCATTATATAACCAACAAGCTCGGATTTCAGTATTGGACGGTACTGGCATCCACGATGGCACCATGACTGCAAATGTTAGATGTGATAGTTGTATTACTTGGCCTGGTGGGAGTGAAAATCCAAGTAGCATGTCAAGCCCATGGGTTTGGGCAGTGAAATATGGAAGCCCACTCAACACCAATAGCTTATCTGCATCCATCACTATCCATGATGCCTCCGGGATAGCGGTCCTGGATCTTCAGAAGGCTACGGGAGGTACCTCAATGAACCCGTTTTTAACCTTAAACCGCACGACATCAAGTTCAGGGCAAGCCATTATGTCAGAGAACTCTGGGTCCGTTGAAAAGCGCAGGATTGCCCATGCTGTTATCATGATTGTGGTGTTCGTTATTCTCTTTCCTTCATTTGCTGTGATGCTGCACATTGTTCCATCTTCAAAGACTGTCGTTATTCATGCTACTTTTCAACTGTTTACGCTAGCTCTGGCAGTTGCCGGATTCGGGATTGGTATCTCCATGGCCAAAAGCCTTGATTTGATACAGACCTATCATCCCATTATCGGGATGGTGATCGTCCCATCCCTCATACTCTTTCAGCCAGCTATGGGCTTTCTTCAACATAGGTATTTTCACAGAACGGGAAAAAAGAGCGTGTTTGCTTATGTACACCGATGGTTTGGTCGTTTGATGATAACGCTTGGCATTATCAATGGTGGCCTAGGTTTCCATCTTTCAGGAATCGGCAGCTCCATCGCCCCAACCGGAGCAGTTATTGCCTATGGTGTGGTTGCTGGTGTCCTCGGTCTCGGCTTTGTTTTAGTGGTGACGTTTCTGCCTCGCGGGACTCGACCTCGAGGAGACTGACCCTCAACCGGTGACTGTCAGGGACCACCGGCGATTGGAGAAGCAAGCCATGCATAGGATACACCGTGATGTATGAAGTGTTGATGTGGTATTGAGCAATGAGTCTCGCTGACCCATTCAGGCTCATCCCAAGCTTGTCTAGTAGGCGGGCAATATCATTCTCCTAGCAGCTATAATCTTCAGGAGAACAATATTTTGGGCCCTCGCTCAGCACAATGTACCTGTACTATTGACGTTGGAAGCTTCAAAAAAGAACTGTCAAAGTGTTAAGTCACGATGGCGGTACTACCCTGACTCATTCTCTACTGGCCTGGGTACTGGAGTGTACTCCCGGGGAAAAAGGAGATTCTCAGTACGGCGGCCATTGAAGTCTTCTTGGTCTTTATGCCTGTATGTCGGAGATGATCATTAGCACTTTTCTGGTTTGTGCCAGGATTTTGAGCACATAACCGAGGGAGGGTACGACATTATTAACCCGGACTATACTTATATATTGACTAGACTTGCCTTGTGTGGACATTGAGTTTCTGAAAGAACTCTTTAACAGGACTTAAATCTATCAACGAAGACTGCAAGCAGAGTAGGCCGTCCTGCTACAAGTACAGTAACTCTATTTATAATCTACAATACTCTACCTAGGGAAAACGAAACCTCTGTTGTAGTTGCCCGCTGGCTCTGTATGAAGGAACCTAACGGCTATCGTAGACTGCAGAGTTTGGGATACCTATCGTGTGATCTCTACCGGAGAACCATTAATTTACGATATGTCCAGCCCTGGGCTCTCAACTTGTAGATTCTATTAATAACCCATATGAACCAACGGAATACATTCTGAGACAGCCAGTCTCATCAGGACGTGCTGAGATCGGCGAGCCATGGTAACAATATCGCCACTGAAATCACACCACCTCGAACAGTATCTCACTACACGCGAAGTCGGTAGGTCTATTTCACGGTGTTCACACATTGATAGGTCTTAGGTGTCTAGATATATTCATTCAGGATGACGTCTACTATATTGGGGGAAAGGTTCCTACTGGGTCGTACTAAATGACGGTTTAGCTTTCTTGCTCTCGCACAAATGAACTCAACCTATATTCAGGTCAACACAGAGATGACTTACGCAATCTTTGGTAAACAAAATGTAGAAACCACAATCGCCAAATGACCAAGCGCACCCACCCGGCTGTTTTGGTGCAGGCATTGATTGTCACGGAGGATAGGTACGGAAACATCTATCATTCAAGTAGTACTAGAGTATGACCTGTTAGACACCTCTACAGATTTGGCTGGCATGATAATACAGACGTGAGACATATAGTCGGTTTACGCAAGATGTAAAGGCAACCAAAATACATTTATTGATATACTACAGATTGCACGGTGGATATATCTCCGACACACCGACAATCCAATACACTATTGACAATTAAGCCTGGGTGAGCAGGGCAGGCTTCCAGGTATTCCAGAACTTGCTGGACGAAGCCAGGAGATTGGAAATCATTCCCTTGATTTCTTCTTCGTGGTCGCAATCATGGGCATCCCCGAGAGACTCAGAGGAAAGCTGCTCCGATTGTTCCCAGCTGGGTTTGTTGCTCGGCCACTTAGGAATAGAGGACAGTTCAACCTTGACCATCTGAGCCACACTGGGAGTGCCTTCACCATTCAAGGCGAACAACATGTACCACCCAGGAAGGATGACACCGGCGTCCTCGGGCAGGTCAGCGCTGTACTTGTTTCCAGCTGCACCCGTGACCTTCAGGGGAACACGACGCTGATCGGTGTTGACGGTATGCGTTGTAGTGCCAACACGGACTAAGGATGCAGACTCGATTTCCGAGTCAGTCTGGAAGGCGACCTGCCCGCCCACGGTAAGCACATTCCCGTTAATCATTCTGGTGATCTCCGGGCGAACAGCTGGCTCGCCGTCGGCCGCAAAGAGGTACGGGGGTCTGAAGATCTCGGCATCGTAGTGGTTGGCAGAGCAGTTGCCACAGAGGCCGCCACCACCATTGAGAACAGTAGCGTCGGGTAGCAGCATCGAAATACTGTGGTACACGCGCTTGATGTTGTTGCGGCCCAGCTCAACGAAGGTGTCCGTCTTGGGGTCGTAGAGTTCGGGCGTGTAGGTAATGTTGTCTTCATGGAAGGGCTGGCCCCAGGTCTGGCCACCTGCAATGAATACCGTGCCATCAGGAAGAACCACCGAGGTATGGAACACACGCTGGTGATGCATTCCGCCCTCCCCTTTACCGTTGGGGCCTTTACCAGCCACCTTCACGACGGGGCGTTGATAGGGCTCTCCAAGAGTGATGAGATGGGCGTTCTTCGAACCAAAGGAGCCGTCGTAATGCCGTTGACCACCAAATGTGAGAATTTTACCCTGAGTCGCATCGTACATGACCGCACTGCCAGACATGGAGTCGCGGTCTCTTCCACGGAGTCCAGCACTGTGCACGGAACCTCTGACGCTACGCCTACCTTGCTGGTCAGTGTTTTCGTCGTCGACATCGTACCAATGCATCTCCTTGCTCGGACCGGCCTGGAAGACACTCGCCTTCTTCCAGCCAAAGAGCCAGGCGTGATTATCGGCCCGCCATTGACCCTTCCGGTCGTCGGTCATCATCGGTTCCACCTCGGCACCCGGGCGTACTTCCCATCGGGCCTTGCCATCAGGCAAGGGATAGTAGACCTCGCCGTTCTTATCAATCTTGTCACCACCGCTCCAAGACCCTCCGATCACGAAGATGCGACCGTCGGACAGGGTCGTCGACGACTGATATCCTCTGGGAATCGCCATGCTAGGGCCTTTCACCCATGCGGTGCCATTGTAGATACTGGTGCGACCGGAGTCTGCACCACCGCTGACGACGATGTTGCCATCGATATCCATGGAGGTGCCGGGACAGAACATGTCGTGGTTGGTTTCGAAGACGGTACTCTGGGTGATCACGCCGTCGCGGTTCATGGTGCTGGTCAGGGTCTTCCCACCGGGCGAGGCGAAGAACTGGTCGTCCGCCCAGGCAGACCACATGATGAGGTCGCCGTGTTGCTCGACTGCGGAGGATACAGGCACGATCGGGAGATCGATCGTCGGCCCCCAGACACCCTGGCTGGGATTGTCTTCGGGGTAAGTGTCACCGTCATACGCGTAAACACTGAGATTGACGATCGAGATTTGCCCGTGCGCCTTCTGTGTCTTATCGGGACGGGAAGCGGTATCCGACACCAGCTTGACATATTGAGCCAGTTTAGGGTTAAAGGCGGACATCTTCGGACTCTTGTTGGATCCCCAGGTACCGTATGCGACTTGGGTCCACGTATCCTTGTCCTGAGAGAGATAGATGCGGTGTTCGCCAATCTGTCCATGTTTGCTCGCCTTGTCCAGCTGAGGCAACATGGTCAGACCGGAGACATAATGCCGCTTGCGGAGATCGACGATGATCTCCGAAGTCTCTCCTTGGCTTGGGTTGCTCACCCAGTATCTGTCGTCGTGATCATCGATCGCATAATCACACGCATACCCCTTATACTGACTGGAGCATTCGACCACCCAATTTTCATCTGGGTCCTCCGGGTTCGACTTGGCGAGGGGCGTTGAATTCGGGGGAGGAGACTGGTACATAACCGCGCCATTCGCCGATTTGGCAATCTCGACACACTCGGCCTCAGAGGATTCATAGGAAAATTCCGCGGGTTTAAAGGCGTCCACAGCGGCTGCCCCCAGCAGGAGCCCCGATGTCCACTGCAACTTCATTTTGCAGGAAGTCTGGTGATGCTGGTCGAGAGAAAGAAGGAAGAACAGGCCAGGACTTATAAATAACAGCCAGAGAGGAAGCGTCATCGACCGCGATCCTGATATCCGTGGCTGCCGTGGAAGTGGGGACGCAGCTCGCCACAAAATACCAGCTCGCCTCGGGATGGTCTGTGGATCCGCGCTGCAACCTGCCAGGCGATCGACGACTTTTTCACCTCGTCATGTCTGGTAGGCACCGGAAATCCTTCCTTGCTGGAGTGTACACAGAGCATTTGCATCATTCCTGGCAGCTTCTGCGGGCGTGGATCTGCAGTCGCACAACCACGCCCCTTGCCTTGTACACGGTGGCCGGTATTCAATCGAAAGAATACATGAGCCACTCGCCTCATTAAAAATCTTGATGTGTCAAGCAGAACCCACTGGTGTTCCAGTGTGGTGGTAAGTACCAGCATACCAGGAAGAGCATGAAAAATCCTGATGCTAGGTCCATCGGCAAACCTGCTTCCTTGGGGGTTGACTTTGTTCTTGTCGAAATCGTCCGATGAACACCGCCGATCATGGTTCTATTTGAAATTCGATATGGAGCTATGACTGCTGGGCAGAGTGGGCAGTCTGTACTATCGACAACACAAGTGGATCTGCGCCCCACCGTGCGGACGGATCGGCCCCCTGGTTAGGGTTCCATTTGCTGGAAGCCTTCGCTCATGTTGCCACAGTTTTCATAGAAACGTGTGTTTTAGCCTTTGAAGTGTCTTGCCCATATCTGTGGTGGTACGCACGGAGATCGTAGTCCAGGTAACCGCAGAGCCAGGCCAATGGGAGGGTCCTGAAACTGTGTCTGGAGTATTCTGGATACTCCGGATAGTCTGCGTGTCTCCACTGCCCCCACAGTTCAGCTGAAGAAATGCCGCAGTCGATGATGCCGATCCCACCCAAGTTAGCGCTGACTCGTACCAGTGTCTGCAACGTGATTAGTATGATGGAAACGCTGGGAGCAGCTCGATCGGCGGAAGAATCATCGCTTCTCCCTGGATTGGATCTTATCGTCTCAGGCAGGAGGAGGAGTGGATCAACATGCCGCGCATACATGATACGATAGATCAGCTACCCAATGAACCGGACACGCCAACCCCCCTCTCTGGGTCGGCGATCCACAAATGACGGTCCATTCATTACCTATCGCATTTGCCCGATGACCTATGGTCATGTTTGTCATTTGCAATGGAGCGGTGGTGAGGACGTCAGAAAGGGGGAGAGGGGCTGAGCTGAGCTGACCCTGGTGATGCATTCTGCCTTCTCATGGCGTATCGTGGGCTGAAATCCGAAAAGCTTAGAATCTTATTGGCAGTGAACGGTGCAGTCGTCTTTCTGTCGTAGAGCAGACTTAAAAAGGTGTTCCCCCCCAGGCATTCCGGTGCCTTAAGCAGAACTCGTCTACTTCAGCTGTCCTTCCCCATCAGACATCAACATGACGATCAAAAAGCAGAAGCGAACGGTCGATACAGACAACATCCAGGGCAGCATTTGGCCCCGCCTCCCCAAGAATAATGAATCCTACCTCTTCTTCAAGATTACCAACAAGGAAAGGTTCAGACAACACCTCCGAGGCGTGCTGGACCGAGGGCTAATCACCACCGGTACGGAATGCGAAAAATACCTGAGGGACATTGGCGAGTTTGAAGAAGCATGTGCGTATTCTCGCCGTGCGGTGCCCGAAAACGAACGGCTACCCTTCACGGCGATCAATATTGCGTTCACTCATATGGGATTGCTCAAGGTTGGTGACTCCCTCGAGATCCCCTGAGGCCGCTCGCGGGACGTTCTAACATCATGGCGATCTTCCCAGGTGGAACATCCAGACGTCGAGGTGAATTATGCCATGGCCCTCGAGGATGATCCCGATGAGTATTGCCGGGATCGGCTCAACGAGGGCCTGTTTGAGAAGGGCATGTTCGATGACCTGGTCTACGAGTTTGCCGATAACCCAGAGACTATGGATCCTCACTTCAGGGCCCCTCCCGGGAATGAAACCAAGACCGGTCTCGACCGTTGGAAGTGGAGGGTGGATGGTGTCTTCATTGTCGCGGCTCAGAGTGCGACAGCCCTGCGTCGCAAAATTGCAGATCTGGAAGGGGCTTTTCATGTTGGTGAGCCGGATGAGGTCAGTATGGAGGTCGCTTTCCGCAAGAACGGTAATGTTCGCCCTGGTGCGAACCGTGGCAAAGAGCAGTATGCTTCCCTCCTTGCTTCCCCATTCATGCAATCGGGCACCGTGCTAATCTTGGTTCTCTAGCTTCGGGTACGAAGATCACATCTCTCAGCCAAAGATTCAAGGCTTGGATGAACCCCCGGCCGAGGGGGAACCTCAGGCCTGTCCTCCTGGGTACGTCAAACTGGTGATTTGTCGGTCATCCCGTGGTTACTAACGGATACTAGCTACATCTTTCTCGGGCATCAGGGCGATCCCGACCGGAGAAGAAACCCCAAATGGGCCAAGGAGGGGAGTTATCTGGTGTTCCGGCAGCTCGACCAAAAGGTGCCTGAATTTGAGACTTTCCTCGAGCAGAAGGCCAAGGAGATTCCAGGTGACAACTACGCCGGAGAGAATGGCCCAGAGAAGCTCGGTGCCCATATGATGGGACGATGGAAGAGCGGTGGGTCTATGATCTTGATGTCATATCCAATTGGTTGGGACGAGAGCTGATGCATGAGACAGGAGCGCCCGTCGCCAAAGCCGTCGACCAGGACGACCCCAAATTGGCGTTTGACAACAAATTCGACTTCCGACCCAAGAAGAGCATTAAAGGGTGTCCGTTTGCGGCGCACGCCCGCAAGATGCGGCCGAGAGCCGATAAGAAGAAAGACCATGGAACCGAAGACGATGGTGACGATCCCCGATATGCCACGCTTCCAAAGCCAGGCGCCAACGAGGCGTTTGATATTGGACAGATGGAGGACGCCAGTGTCATCCTTCGTCGGGGTATCACCTTTGGTCCTGAACTGACGGAAGAAGAAAAGCGCCAGAAGAAGACCCTCGAGCACCGGGGTATCTACTTTACGTGCTACCAGAGTCTCATTCGGGATGGGTTCAACTTCCTCATCACGCGTAGGTTTTCCCATTTCGACTTCATGACCCCCCATCTCCGCAAAGATGCTAATTGGATCCATACAGGCTGGGGCAGCAACGCCGGCTTCCCGGAGCACAAAGACAAGACCCATGCGGACGGTCCTGGTATGGACCCGATCATTCGCCAGAGACTCCGTGAGGATCATCCCGAGGATCACATCAGTTTGTATGATGGAAAGGATGCGTCCAGGACGGTGAAGGTGGACCTTGGGGTTCCCTGGGTTGATCCAAGAGGTGGCGAATACTTCTTCACCCCTTCTCTCCGGGCTTTGAGGGAACACTTCTCAGCCGACATTGTTAACGCACAAGGTCAAGCCGAGCGTCCCGTGCAAGACCAGCTCCCCGAAGACCCGGTGGTGAGGGATCTACGTGAGAAGGTCGAGGAGTTGGAGCAGAAGAACCGGGCGCTTCAGAACATCGTCCGGGACCGCGTCGACGATATCGGCACCTTGCACGACCAGTTGAAGGAGCAACAAGAATTGCATCGGCAGGATCTGGAGAAGATCAAGAAAGGTACTCTCGTGGGCTATGCCGGGTTGATCCGGTTGGACTTTTTAAACCAGTTGGCGGACGACGATCTACGGGAGTTGAAACACCAGATCATCCGGGCTCTGGGCCAGTTGGCAGGAGATGTCGACTGGAAGCAGTGGCAAAGTATCATTGGCGATCTCAACAACCGATACGGATTCCAGTTAAACTACGGTCATGGGGGGCATTTCGAGGGAGAACATTGGCGAAAGTGGAAAGAGATCCAGTATTCGACCAGCGCGTCCGACTACGATCGCACCGTGGCCTTCCGCAACCGAATGGGCCAGTGGTGCAGCAATAGCAAGTGGAATGCCGCCGGTGGAGATGCTGGTGGATGTGCCTTGATGTGGCTCACTTTTGTCATCCAGCTGCACGATGTGTTGCGGGTGTACCGGCCAGAGATCTTCTAGGATACTGGGTAGTTAGGATCCCTAGTGACATTTATAGATCAACCAGTTCATCGATGCTGTTATAAGAAATCAGATTGCCCTCACTTGCCTGCTGCATTTTCTTCTCAGTGAAGGTCTCGAGCTTTACACGCTCTTCTGCGCTTAGTAGACGTAGTCGATCCTCAGATTTTGTATCCACACCTGAACAATTCAATTCGACTACGTGTTTGCGAGACTATCGAAGTCCATTTCGCATGGGTTGGCGAGGATGATGTTAGACAACAAAACATAGGAAGACGAGAAACAACCTTTCATCCATGGCTCTGGGGAGCGGCCGGAAAATCCTTCCAGCGCCGTTCCGTGATCATGTATGTCTGTGATGGAAACTGTGCCACAGACTTCGGTCTCGTACAATAGTAACCGAGAGTATACAAGTAACAGAGAAAGTAAAGCGGTAGAATAGAAAAATACAGAAATAATATAAGTATTATATAAAAAAAAAAAGGACTATCGAGAGTACCGCAAATGGTATACACCGTAGGGAATAGTATACAGAGTACCAACTCGGTAAATATATGTTATAATATATACTATATTGTATATCGTAGACCAGACCAATACACCAGGACCAAAAGACATCTATGGACACTCATTCTCGCACTACTGGTGTAGTTCTCTGTGATCAATAGAACTAATTACTACAGAGGTACCTTTGACAAGGAACCAATTCTGGACTTGTAGCACTCTTCTATTATCCGGGATACGTACCGGATAGGCCTGGCGAGTAGAATGTGGATCCACTTCGATCGTTGTCAGTGTCAACACGGCTGGTGAACGAACAAGTCTTCGTGTAGGGTCGGTTGGTCCCGTAATACCCCGACCGGCAGCCCAGTTGAACTCCACCGCAACGATACATCCGCCCGCACTCTCATCCCCGACCGTCATTCTTCATTTCTCGTCATCGGAATTTTTGAAGCGTATTTTCCTGCCTCAGTTCGTTCAATCGCTGTGAAATAACAGTTCCTCCGGGTGGGCCACGTTGTCATTCTCTAGAGGACTCTCGGATCGCATGGCCGTGGACTGTTGACACGGCCTTAGCAACGGAAACCAAAATACTGCCTGTGCGGCCGCTGGCTGAACGACGTGACTGATAGGACATGTCACCATGATCGGTGTCAAAGAACTTTCCGTGTTTCTGCATATTATTGGAGCAGGACTAGTACTGCAATTGAGCTTTCCTGCTCTGCGACAGGTCGCAGCAGGTATCTTCACGCTTGTGAGCAGCACACGGTATGGTGGCCGCACACCGACGGAGAAGGATGGAAGACCTAAGATCCCACCGACCAGGACAATCTGGTGTCTGCTGATATGCATGGCGTGTGGTTGCTTTATTGCCTCCCTGCGGGTTGTGATTGCAGCAAATAACGGGTTCTTACTGGAACGCTGTCTACAGTTTCTGACTTGGGTACGTCAAGAAAGATGTTCGTGGTGGCATATACTGACAACTATAAGACTGCCATGCTGATGCATTACACCACGCTTGTGACCGAGTCAGTCTACCGCGAGCGATATTCGATCGGATTGAGAGGCTGCCTCAACTGCGTCGTAGTAGGATTGCTCTCTGTAGTTGAGCGCCAAACGGGGGAGAAATTAGAGAAATCCACCAAGGCTCTGCTTGTGATGGCGCAGATCAACCAATGCATCGCGGGGATATCCATCTTGATCAGTCTGTCGTTGCCGCGACGTTCGCGTATATTCCGGGACGGAAAGGCAGTTGATGGAGAAGGCTCATCTTCCGTTCTGGGGCGGCTTTCTTTCTCCTGGGTGAGTGAGTTGGTCGCCCTGGCGGAGGCGCGACGTCGGGTTACCGTGGAGGATCTGCCGGAGCTGGATGATCGGACACGAGCGAGGGTTCTAATGGAAGAATTTACTCATGCCGCGTCCCAAGATGCTTCACCTCGTAGTCATGAACAATCCTTGCTTAGGCTGTTGCTTCTTTCGCACGGCAAGTGTCTACGCAATCAAATTATTCTTTGTATCCCGCTCTCCGTGGTAGCATTTACGCCACAGTTCGCATTGTGGATGATGCTGCGCTTGCTTGAAGAGCAGTCTGCGAGGCAGTCAGAGAGTGCCTCATTAGTATGGTGGGCCTTGGTTTGTGGCCTCACGATTGGCTTCTCCGCGTGGCTCGAGAACTGGCTGTTGTGGCTGGCGATGAATAAGATCACGGTTCCCATGACACAGCAGGTGACAGCGATGCTCTACAACCAAGTCATCAGTCATCGTCAACTGGCTGAAGATAGTCTCGGCGATCAAAGCGTAACAAATCTGATCTCCATGGACACCCAGCGCATTGCGGGCGTGGCAGGATTTCTCTATTCGAACGTCCTACAGGCAATGAAGCTTATTGTCGCCAGTACCATGCTGGCACATTTGTTGGGATGGCAAAGCTTACTGGGAGGATTATCCACGCTGCTCTTCATCATGCCGTTGCACCGGACCTTTCTGCAGAGGTACGGTGCAGCGGAGCGCGCCTTGACCGGTCTTCGGGATAGCAAGATGGCTGCCCTGACAGAGGCCCTACAATGTATCCGACAGGTCAAGATCGCCGCGCTGGAACAAAAATGGGAGGACAAAATCAACCAGCTGCTGGACCAAGGGCAGCAGGAACACCGCACGGCGTTCCACTGGTACGTGATGAATTTGGCGTGCCATCTCGTAGGACCTGTTCTAGTCTCGGCAACGGCTATCGGGATCTACACATGGATACATGGGAGTCTGACTCCCTCTGTGGCGTTTCCCGCTCTGTCCCTGTTGGGGTACATGCAGTTCATCCTGGGGCTTATTCCGGACCTGTGGTCTGGGATCGTGGGTGCCAGGATCAGCTTAAGGAGGATCGGCAAGTTTCTTGCAACTGAGAAGCTCCCGTCGACCACCGTTCCAGCAGAACATATAGAGTTTCAAGGCGCCACTATATGCTATGAAACCTCCCAACCAGCTCAGCACTCAGGAACCTTGCACGATGTAACGGCCAGCTTCCCACCGAATGAGATAAGCATCGTGACTGGTGCCACGGGAGTGGGGAAGAGCCTGCTTCTACGGACAATTCTGGGTGAATGCCGCATACAGTCTGGGATCCTGCGACGTCCGGTACCAGCTTCATATGATGAGATATATGGAGAGATGGCAACTGCACGAGGGACGTGGGTAATTGACCATGCTGTCGCATTTGTCCCCCAATTTCCATGGAATGAAGCTGGCACCATACGGGGAAATATTCTCTTCGGCCTGCCTCTCGAGCCAGAAAGATATCAATCTGTGCTGTATGCCTGCGCATTGGCAAAGGACTTAGAGCATCTGGAGCATGGCGATCTGACTGATATCGGTCCAAATGGCTGTAAACTGAGTGGGGGACAGAAAACGCGCGTCGCCCTTGCGCGAGCCTTATACTCTCGGGCGGGCATCCTGCTTCTCGATGACATTTTCAGTGCTGTGGATATTCACACCGCGCGGCATATCTTGATCCATGCTTTGACTGGAAAACTTGCTGCAGGCCGAACGCGAATTTTGGTGACCCATCACGTTCAGCTCTGTGCCCCTAAAGCTACGTACATTGTATCTCTCGATAACGGCACAGTTGCATTCGCAGGAAAACCATCTCATCTACTGGACCACAGCCGCGAGCAGAATAGAGATACACCAGATAATGAACACAGACATGAGATATATACGTCCCACCCGATACCAGCGCCACCTTCAAATGACCCATCAGCTTCCGGGAAGGGAACAGGGAGTGCTTACATGCAGGATGGCAGTCCACGACAGAATCTCGTTCAACGAGACATTTTAAAACACTACGTTCAGACCAGTGGTGGGTGGAGGCCATGGGCTGTGGTAGCGGGGTGCTATATTACCTATAATGGTCTTTTACTTGGCTTGGTATATACCCTGACACGTCTGCAATTGATCATGTGGTTATACTCACTTGGCTAATGCTGTGAACTTAGTACTCCTGGGTGCGCCTGTGGACCGAAAGCGGATCAACGGCCACACCAGACCCTCGCAGAATGGCATATCACACGCTTGGCTATATCATTATCGCAGGCGCCGCATGTGTTATGGGAACATTGCGATGCTACCTTGTGTTTGATGTGTCACTCCACGCCGCAACGAGGCTATTCCGCCAAACACTGAATGCCATTCTACGGGCACAACTTCAGTGGCTAGAGTCGGTACCTCTAGGAACCCTGGTCAATCTGTTCGCTTCGGACTTTTATCTTATTGACTCACGACTCGGATTGGATCTCATTGGGTTGTTCAGTGCTGCCATGGACTGTGTTGGTGTGATCATGGGTGCAGTACTGGTTTGTCCGACGCTGACAATCATCGCTGCGATTCTGCTTTGCGCCGTGATCTGGTATACTAAGCGATACGTCGTGGCGGTCTGTGAAATTAAGCAGCTCGAGGCAACCACAAGGGGCACGGTATATGAGCATTTTGACATGTCCTCACAAGGGCTCAGCACGATCCATGCATTCTGCCGGACGGAAGACTATACCACTGTGATGCATGCAAAGATTGACCAACAGGCAAAGACCTCTTGGTATTTATTTCTGCTCAACCGATGGCTGACGTTTCGCATCAATGTGTTGGGCACGCTCTTCTCATTATGCACCCTTTTCTTCGTGGTTACGAGCGAATCCATCACGGGCTCTTTCGCCGGGTTTGCCCTGGTTTTCACCAACCATCTGTGCCATGCGCTGGTCATGCTAAGTCGGACGTATGCGACCGCAGAGATGGATTTCAGTGCAGTGGAACGAGCCATGGAGTATATTGAGGTGCCCACAGAAAATAGTGGAGGTGCAAATGCTCCCGACGGGTGGCCGACGCAGGGGAGATTGTCTGTCAGGAGTCTAACCGTAGCCTACGCGCCGGATCTTTCGCCAGTTCTTCACAATATTACTTTTACCGTGGAACCCGGACAACGCCTTGGAGTCGTTGGACGAACCGGAGCAGGCAAATCCTCGCTTGCCCTGGCACTTCTCCGGTGCCTCGAGGCGCGCGAGGGGGCAATTTTGATTGATGGTATCGATATCAGCACTCTGAAGTTGCATCATCTACGTAGAAGACTCGCGATGATTCCACAAAACCCCATTCTTTTCACGGGCACCGTGCGATCCAACCTGGATCCATTTGACCAATATTCCGATCGTTGGCTAGTTCAGGCGCTTCGACGGGTCGCCTGGGACAGGCCGGAGGCGCTGCACACCCCCGTGTCTGAAGGAGGTTCCAATCTATCCTGTGGTGAACGCCAGGTTCTCTGCCTTGCGAGGGCAATGCTGTCAGACCCAGCTGTGCTCGTTATGGACGAAGCCACATCTGCGATGGATCACGGCACAGATCAGTTGATCCAGCGCTCTATTCGCTCGCAGATCGGAGAAATGAACCCGACCCTTATTGTAATCGCACATCGTCTGCAAACGATCGCCGACTTTGATCGCGTACTCGTGCTCCATGAAGGAAGGGCGGTGGAATTCGGGTCTCCCCAGGAATTGATGCAGTCCCGAAACGGCCTGTTCCGACAGTTGGTGGACGGCGATGTGGATAAAGAGAATCTGTATAACCAGATGAATCTGGCCGGCAGCTACAAGTCACAGTAACACCGTGACCATTATTGATATCTACTTATTTTACTTTGTCTAGAAGTCAGCGCACCGGGAAGATCTCGGCGCGGTATACGTGTTTTGAATTCCGGGGCGGGTGACTTGATGCGTAGACCTCGCCCCCAGCCCATGTACCCGAGAGAACAATTCGTCAGATCGGAACCGTGGCAATCAGATGCTACGATGGAGAAATGGGTCGGGCGAATGCGGAGGTCCAGAGACAAGCTCCACTCTTCAGCATTAAGAGTGGAGAGCCAATACGAGAAAGATCATCCTTTCGGGAATCAATCACCGAGAACCTTGCCTCCTGCATTAGTATGGACTATCAGCGCGAGAACCCCGCGCGAGATATGGCGGGGTATCTTGCTCGACTCTTGTCGTTGCAACTGGCTACTGTATAGATCGGTCGAAAGGGCTGATATCTGGTGGCTGAGCCTTGTTCAACGTTAAGACTTCTAGTCGGAGGACAAGGCGCGGAATCCAGCCTCCGAGCGATGCATATCATGGCCAATCCTCGTGCGCGGAGTGTTCTTCACACATGTCAGGATGCAGATCCTTGATGAAACCAAGCAAGCCAAGGGATTTGCCAAGAAAATGGCGAATGGAACTAGTCGAAGTGGGATACAGTGATGGGCAGTGCCTGTTTATCTACCTGTCCACCTCAAGATACCTCAACTCTCGATCAAGCATTGTATCTCACATATCATATCCTCTTGTATCATGGCTATGACACCACAAACCTCGGACTCCTCCCTGTCGGGGGGACCCATTCGATCCATGCAGGAGCCGATCGCAGTTGTCAGCATGGCATGTCGATTACCGGGACACAGCGATTCCCCGCAGAAGTTATGGGAATTCCTGGTGCAAGGAGGTGTGGCAGACACCAAGGTCCCAGAAACACGATTTAACCTGGACGCCTTCTATGATGGGTCTGATCGACCGAAGACAATGCGCTCTCCCGGCGCCATGTTTATGGAAACTGTCGATCCAGCGAAGTTTGATGCATCATTCTTTAACATTTCAGCGCAGGAGGCAACGGCCATGGATCCTCAACAACGGATCATACTGGAGGTTATCTATGAAGCATTGGAGAATGCCGGCCTCACACTAGAGTCGCTAGCGGGCCAAAGGTATGGCTGCTTCGTCGGAGGTCACCCTGGAGGTATTGAAATATCATCCCCTGTTTAAGATAGCAACTCCATGCTGATACTCCGCCAGACTACTGGGACGTGTTCGCACGGGATCCAGACTCCAGACCAGTCAATGCGGGCATTGGTGGCTCCGGCACAATGTTGAGCAATCGCGTTAGTCACTTCCTGGGTATTACAGGCCCTAGGTATAGTTTTGTGCTGCACACGATTTTCCGAGTACAACGATGCTGATACAGAAGTAGCATGTCCCTTGATACCGCTTGCTCCAGCTCCTTGGTAGCGCTAGACATGGCATGCAAATTCCTTCAAACCGGCGAGATTGACGGAGCCGTCATCGCGGCATCCAATCTGGTCCTACAGTGAGCCATACTCGCATAAACATATTCATTCAAGAGACGTGCTGATAGAGGATAGCCCCGAATATGGCTGTGACAGTAAGTAAAACATAAACGCTGGCAGATTCAGCAACTGATGACTTGGTGCAGCTGGGCCGATCAGAAACACCCACTCGCCAACCGGACGCTGCCACACATTTGACGCCAAGGCAGACGGGTATATAAAGGCCGAAGGAATCAATGCAGTGATTTTGAAACGGCTTGATGATGCCGTACAAGCTGGAGACCCAATCCGAGCGGTAATTCGAGGGACCGCGAATAACCATAGCGGTCGCACCCCAGGTATTGCGTCTCCCAGCGCTGATGCCCAGGCCGCTGCGGTGCGCACTGCATATAAGAATGCCAACATCACTGACTTTTCTCTCACGTCGTACCTCGAATGCCATGGAACTGGTACATTGGCTGGAGACCCAGTTGAGGTGGCTGGCGTCTCCTCGGTCTTTGCAGAGTCCCGGGCGCATGATAGACCACTGCACATTGGATCGGTACGCAGATCGTATCTTTTTCTAACAGGCACTGACCGGCTTCTTAGATCAAAAGTAATATCGGGCATTCGGAGACTGCTGCGGGTTTGTCCGGCTTGATCAAAGCCATCATGATCTTGGAAACCGGGCTCATTCCAGGAAATCCGACTTTCGAAACGCCTAACCCCAACAGTGAGTCAGATGCCGTGGAGGGGCCTTCCTGAGAGAGTTTGCTAAAATCAGACAGTCGACTTCAGCGGGCTGAAGGTGAAGGTTAGTCGCAGTGCCATCCCTTTCCCCAAGGACGTCCCGTTTCGACGTGTAGGGGTGAACAACTTTGGATTTGGTGGCAGCAACTCCCACGCAATCTTGGAGGAGCCGCGAGTTGTTCAGTTGGATTACTGCCCAACGCACAAAACATCCTACACACCTCCTAGTCTGGACTGTGCTGTGATCGAAGCTGCTGCCCAGCAACCATATATTCTATGCTTCTCGGCAAACAACCAGAGCTCCCTCAAACGTTACATTGAGGAGTTCTCTCAGCATTGCGCCAGCCCGAGCGTACACCTGAATGTCCGAGATGTGGCCTACACACTCGGTGTACGCAGAAGCCAGCACTTCCACAGAGGCTACCTCATCACCGATAATCTCACACACATCGACCCGACAAGGGTGGTCTATGGCAAAAAGAGTGTCAATGCCGTGAATGTTGGGTTTGTTTTTACCGGTCAAGGAGCACAATGGCCGCAGATGGGCTTAGAGCTACTGGCATCATTTCCGGTGGCCAGGAGGTGTGTGGAAAAGCTGGACAAGGTCTTGCATCGTCTGCCCAACAGGCCGACGTGGTCATTGTATGACGAATTGACCAGGCCATGTAGCCCTGAGCATATCCGAAATCCGGAGCTGAGCCAGCCACTGGTCACTGCGTTGCAGATAGCAATGGTCGAACTCTTCCGCAGTTGGGGGATCTCGCCAACCAGTGTTCTTGGGCATTCCTCGGGCGAGATTGCGGCTGCGTACGCGGCTGGCTACCTCACCGATGCTGAAGCGATCGTTGTCGCATACCATCGTGGCATGGCGTCTCAGACAGGGCAACCAAACGACACCCTGCCTCTCGGGATGCTCGCGGTGGGGTTGGGTGCAGAGCAGGTCTCGCCATACCTGGATGGGTTGGAAGGGGTCCAGATTGCCTGTTACAATAGCCCTGCAAGCGTGACCTTATCTGGGCTTTCCTCGGTGCTCGAGCAAGTGAAAGTCAGACTCACGGAGGGTGGAGTGTTTGCTCGCATGCTCCAAGTCGACCTGGCGTACCATTCCACATATATGGAGACAATTGGTGACATGTATGAGCATCTGCTCAACCGGGACCTCCCATCAATCGCGCAGGAATCCCCACGGTCTAGCGACGTCACAATGTTTTCCTCAGTCACTGGATCCCAGCAAGAGGTCTGTCCGGGCATTAAATACTGGAAGAGGAATATGACTTCTCCTGTTCGCTTCGAGGATGCGGCTCGTGCTATGTTAGGTGGAAAGTCGTCGGCCACTTTGTTGGTTGAGATTGGGCCTCATGGTGCGCTTAAAGGACCCATCACACAGATTCAAAGGGCCCTTGAGGGGACAGCAGCCAAAATTCCCTATCTTTCAGCACTGAACCGAGGCTCCGACTCAATTCATCACACGCTCGCAGTCGCCGGCCAACTCTTTCTGGCGGGTGCTCCCATTGACCTTGAGAAGGTGCTTGCAGACAGCAAAGAAACCCGTCCCATGGTGATCGTGGACCTGCCAAACTACTGTTGGGACCATTCCACACCCTACTGGTTCGAGACACAAGCTAGCAAGGACTGGAGGTTTCGCCCATTTGTTCATCATGACTTGCTGGGAAGTAAAATCCTTGGCACATCGTGGCTCCATCCCACATTTAAGAAAACCATGGATCTCAGTCTTCTCCCGTGGTTGAAGGATCATCGAATCGGGACCGACGTCGTATTCCCCGCATCAGGATACATCGCAATGGCAGTCGAGGCAATGTACCAGACCGGATGCATGCGTAAACCAAACGATCCATTCCCACTCTCCAACGAGCTAAGTTACCAATTGCGCAATGTCCGATTCAATGCAGCGCTTGTTTTGGAAGAAGAGGTGGAGAGCGAGATCTATCTGACAATGAGCCCATTCCCGGGAAGCAATGAGAACTGGTTTGAGTTCTTAATATCTTCTCGTAGGGATGGTACCATTACAAAACATGCAGCTGGATTGATCCGGCTCCAAGAGCCTGTCCTTGACCCGGCTGATGAGAAAGATATTGCACCATTCGAGCATGCCTCTCCCGGGCACTTATGGACAAAGGCTTGCGCTGAGCTTGGGTACCACTATGGTCCCGCATTCCACCTGTTGGAGAAAGTGGAATCGCGTTTTGGGCAGCGACGGGCTCGCTCGTTAATCACACTAGCAGACCCTCCTTCAGCTCATGATCCTCAGTCTTTGTATCCCGTTCATCCCGCTGCGCTGGACGGTGTATTTCGGGCCGTTGTACCTGCAGCGATCGCTGGAGACCGCAGCAGAATGGCTGAGACCCTAATTCCCGCCATGGTGGATGATTTTATTATAAACCCCACTCATCGACCAGACGCAGGCATCGCGGTTGCTTCCAGCTATTACTCTGGGCGCGGCAGAGAAGATACGGAGAAGAGCTATCTTGGAAATACTTCCGTATATGATCCAACTAGTGGCGCTCTACTGATTCGAATGACCGGATTATCGAGTCATAGGATTGATCTAGGAATTGATCCGGTAAATCGACATACCCTCACCCAGGATGTCCTGAAGGCGGATATTTCCACGCTGAATGAGAAGGCCATCCAGGAACTTGGACGAGGGCACACGAACCTCACTCCAGTGCTTCTGGATTTAATGATGCACAAAAAGCCCTCCCTGAATGTGCTTGAGATTGATTTGGGAACTCGGGAACCCAGAAGCGTCTGGCTTCAATCCCTGGAAACGGGCGCTGAGTTGCAATACCAATACCGTTATCTGGCCCGCGATGCCACAAATCTTTCTGGTGTGGAATCGAAGTACCGCGATCAAGCTAATACCTCCTTCCAGCTTCTGGATCTAGAAAGTAGCCACTTGGGTGTGGAGAATCAGGAAAGCTTTGACTTGATCATACTCAAGGCCGTCTCGCCGTTGCCTCCCAGGTCAGTCGCCGTAGTGGGAGCGTTGAAAGACCTACTCGCACTTGATGGTCATATACTGGCAACCGATTACGCAGAGACGAGCCTTAATCCGGAGTCAGAATCCTCGTTGGTTCATGTGGTTGAGAATGTGACATTCGCCAAGGTGCTCTCCATTCCATCCGAACCATGGGCAACCTTTTTATGCAGACCACGAGTACTTGCAGATCGCGCTTCTGCAGTAGCGAAGCAGCTGCATATCATCTACATGGAGGAGAATACTATCCTACCGCGTATAGTGGAACAATATTTGACAGCAGCAGGGTGGCAAGTCACCGAGCATCAATATATGACTGCAAACGTACCGGCCGGGGCGCCTGTCCTTATTCTTGACGAGTTGTACTCGCCCCTTCTTGTCCACATTAATGAGGCACAATGGCTGTGCCTGCGCCACCTCATCACCAGCGGCTGTAAACTTATCTGGGTCACTCGAGGCGGCCAACTGTCTGCCTCCGAGCCAGGTAGTGCCTTAGCTGCTGGGCTTTTCCGCTCAATCCGATCCGAGGATCCCGCGGCCACACTAATGACCTTGGATATGCAAAGTCAAGATGCATCAGCGGCACTGGCTGCTGCTCTTCCCCTGGTTCTTGAGCAACTCCAGATGCGCCAAGCTGATTTGGTAAGCGATAGCGAATATGTGGAGAAAGACGGTATCCTACACATCCATCGGGTTGTACCCTATCATCCTCTAAACCATGAGATTAAATTGTGGAAGGAGGAATTTGTGCACACCTCACTGTCCACCGATGGTCCTATCACACGTCTAGTAGCTGAGGAACTCGGTACTCTAGAAGGCCTACGGTTCGTCCAAACACCAGACGAGATCCTCCCTGACAATCATGTTGAAATTGAGATTCATGCCGCTGGCCTAAATTTCAAAGACGTTGCTGTTACGATGGGCATAGTACCCGAGAATGAGCGTCTACTCGGCTTGGAGGGGTCAGGCATCATCCGTCGAGTTGGATCTAACATTGATGATAAAACTATTATCGGCACTCCTGTCGTCTTTATGGAGAAGGGAGCCTTCGCCAACCGCATCCAGGTGCCAATTGATTTCACACATCGTATCCCAAACACGATGTCCTTCAGCGAGGCAGCTACAATTCCAGTAGCCTTCTGTACGGCACTCTACTCCTTGTTTGATATGGCAGACCTGCAACCTGGACAGTCGGTCCTTATTCATTCTGCGTCTGGCGGTGTTGGAATTGCTTGTATTCAATTAGCTCAGTATGTCGGAGCGGAGATCTATGTGACTGTTGGTAGTGATGCAAAGCGTCGCTTCCTACATGACACATACAAGATCCCGTATGAACGCATGTTCTCATCCAGATGCTCCAAGTTTGCCGCTGGGATCATGAAGGCCACCGATGGGAAGGGAATTGATGTGATCGTGAACTCGATCACGGGAGACTTGCTCGATGCCACATGGAGAGTATGTGCCGCGGGTGGGACTCTGGTTGAACTTGGCAAGAGAGATATGGTGGAACGTAATACTCTATCCATGGAGCCTTTCGACCGGGGTTGTTCATTCCGTGCTGTAGATCTCTCCCATCCACGACTGTTACGGAAATTGCCTAGGTATGTTCCCTTGGTTTGCATTGAGGGTCGATATGCTTACCCCAGCACCAGTATCCTTCGCCGTGTCTTTGATCTAGCAAGCAAAGGCCATATTCACCCTATTAATCCAATGACAACCTTCCCCATCACGCAGGCTGCGGAGGCCTTTTCTTATATGCGTAGTGGAAAGCACATTGGGAAGGTTGTGATTGACGGAATGGCTGCTGCGGAGGGGATGTCAGCACCGGTACGCCCTCTGCGTCAGGATATAACATTCAATACCGGATCTGCCTACCTCATTGTAGGTGGTCTCAAAGGTTTGTGTGGTAGCTTAGCCTTGCACCTTGCCCAGCGAGGTGCCCGCCATTTAGTGGTGATGTCTCGCAGCGGGTGTGCGGATTCTCGCTCTCAAGCAGTCATTTCCAATTGTCACGCGCTTGGATGCAATGTATATGACTGCCGCGGTGATGTGTCACGCATCTGTGACGTGCGACAGGCTTTTCTCCAAGCCCCTGTCCCCATCAAGGGTGTCGTACAGGGTGTGATGCTCCTGCGTGACCGACCCTATGAGTTGATGACGATCAACGAGTTTCACGAATCTATTGAGGGGAAGGTCCAAGGCACATGGAACCTGCACAATGTTTCCATCGAAATTGGCCGCGAACTAGATTTCTTCCTCCTCCTTTCTAGCATCTCCAGCGTGGTGGGGAGCCCAGGCCAAGCAAATTATGCCGCTGCCAACAGTTTCCTTGACTCTTTCGCTAGTTATCGACGCTCCATGGGGCTTGCCGCCCAGACAATTAACCTGGGTGTGATAGAAGACGTTGGAGTTGTGGCAGAATCAGAGGACCTAAGTCGGCGTCATGAAGCATCCAAGGAGTTGATTGGCATCCCTGAACGTGTGCTCCATTGCATGGTCGATACTTCACTCCGGCAACAGTTTCTTCAGCATACCCACCAGCCAAATTCAGGGGGCTCAGAATTCCCAACTCGACTCATAACTGGACTCACGGTGCCTCAAGACCCAGCTCAATCTGGCCTGCGATTTGATCCTCGCTTCCGTGGACTGTTTGTCGGGAATTCGAACTCTCAGGCCAATGCAGGAAAACCAACTGATGAACTCGGTGCCGCACTCCAATCGTTCCACGCGATGATTCGCGCTGGTGCAGCGGCCGACGAACTACACGAACCGTGTCTAAGCATCCTCGCCACTCGGCTGGCGCGGATGTTGCGCTATAATGAAAACCAACAGATTGAGCCTGGGCAACCGCTTTCGGTCTATGGGCTGGACTCGCTCTCCATGGTGGAACTGCGGAATTGGATCAAGGCTCAGATGGGGGCTGAGGTGACTACCTTTGATGTCCTTAACGCCAATAGTTTGATCATGTTAGCACAACGGGTCGTGAATAAGTTACGCCGTGAATAAGTAGTGACGGGGTAGTTCCTGGGATACTTTGAGTCCACGCTGATATATCGGAAGTATCCAGGACTTCGAATGATATTGACTGGACTTCGTCGAGAAGATCCCTGATCAAATGTTGTACATATCGAAATTTCGTATAGAAGGCCACAGCTCCACATATTGAAGTTGAAGATTGACATACTTCACAAATGGGCTGGTATGGGTTGACACTCCTAATGACCAAGTTCATACGTGTCATCATAGAGCACATAAAATATTTGAAATTCAGTCCTTCATGATAATTCATATATACAAGTTCTAAAGAAAGAGAACATGCGCTATTTCATACAGTCTTTACATGCATTCGTATCCGCTTACCCCCGGATCAGGGCTCAGCGCTGATCTGGCTCACGCGCCGGCCGTTGTTCTCCGATCGGTCAGCAGCAAGCGTGGCGGCAAACTTGCTATTCGCACGGATTTGTGGTCCCTTCCAATAGAAGATATAGATGGGAATGACGACCAAACAGGAAAGACAGGCCAGAATGGTGCTGGCATATTGAACATGCCACTCGTCGCCAACATTGCTATACATGGGCGTCGCGTACATGGCTGAGATACCAGCGAGAAGGTCCCGAGCGAAAGCATTACCACCGGTCGCGGAGGCAGAGTAGACCCCATAGGAGGCGACCATGTAGTCTACCGAGGAGAGGTATATTGCGTAGTTGGCAATCCCGACACACGCGGAGAAGATCATCGACGCGATCCAGTGTACGTTGCGCGAGTCGCCTGCAGCGAATGTTGTCCACGCAAAACCGAACAACCCGATGGGTTCCAGCGGTGCCAGGAAGAGCAGCCACTTGAGACGACGCTCGGGTGGAATCGCCGCATCACCGTGTCGGAGACGAAGCTTTTCGTCCCGCATAAACCAGGGAAAGTAGCTGAAGTACGCGATGAAGTAGGCCGCGTTGATGGGGATCACCGCCCACGCCTGCCCAAGCGTACCAAAGCCCCATCCCTGTTCGTAAACGATGGCAAAGCTTTCGAGGAAGGTGAAGATCAGAGCATCGGAGAAACCGGACAGAAGGGACAAGCACAGGACAATGGGCTCGCGCAACAGCATGTGAAACGGTCGCATCCAGATTTTACCGGCTTCCTTGAAGGAGATCCGAGGAACCTTCAGCTCGTTGGGCCCGTAGATGTTCGGGTCTTCTCCTGACTTCCGGCGGCGCTTCGCCTCCTTGTCCATAATGATGGTGGAACGGCTCTCGGGCATGAAAAAGATGATGACCTGGGTTACTGCTCCAAATATGAGCTGAATCCAGAAGAACCATTGCCAATCCAGGACTACATAGGTGTCAATCCCATTGGTTAGCAAGGGGCCGTACCCAGCGATAGAGAGAAGGGAATGCTTGCTTACAGCGTGCAATTGGCCCACCGATCACACCACCAATACTGGTACCAATACAGGAGGATAGGACGATAAATGCAAGGGGGAACTGCTGCGTCTCGGACTCATAGATATCGGCAATGAGGCCGAGAGTGACACTGCCACCCGCAGTCGAAATACCACCCTATGCGATGTCAGTTCACCCAATTCTTGAACGCTTGCTTGCCAAGGGGGAGGTCCAACCAATGCACGGGCGACCACTAGAGAGCCCCAGTTGGGAGCAAGGGCTGCCGGGAGTTGCCAGATATTGATCAGGAGCATGGAGAGCTGGAGGATCGGCCAGCGACCGAACTCCTCCGACCATGGCGCCCACAGCTCACAACCTATGGAGTAGGTCACAAGATAAGCCATTTGGCCCGTCCGGGCGTGTTGCTCGCTAATATTGAACGCCTCGGAGAGCGGCTTGACGGCTGCCGGGTAGACTGAGGTGTTGAAGTTCATCGACACTTGCACGAAGGCGACCGCGGCGAGATAGGTCCATTTCTTCCATCGCGGCCATGAGTAGCCCAGAATTTCATAACAGTCGGCCTCTTTCAGCTCGCGCTTTCCATCCGAGCGCTCGCTTTGCTTTTCTGCGAGCTCGTCGGCGATGTCCAGGGGCGCGTTGGACTCACTGTCGGTGGCATTGACCGAGGACAGACTGGTCTCGGCGTGGACCGCGTGCGTTGCTTGTTGCTCTGGAAAGTACATCCGGGCATGTGCAGGGATGAAGCTGACTAGGAGTCGAGTGTGAACAACGCGGATTGCGGTGGGCCTCCTCCAGCTCTTGTATGCCTACAAACGTGGGCTTAATCGACCAGAGCACCGACATTCCGACAGACGATCGATGACGTTGATGATGTCGCTGATCATCCTGCTCGGAGCGTTGTCTCCACGGGTTCGACTGATGTTTACATCGTGCCTGCAAGCGTGGCATCCCAGAACCGGTTCTTGAAGGCTGATATCTCATATCATTGGCTTCCGAATTCTCCCGACTCCACTGGTTTGCTCCACACGCTCATGCCTGACGTCACAGTGTCTTTCTCTGGAGTTGAAGTGTGTATCTTGGCCGATGAGGATAGCGGATCTCTGGAGATCTCGTAAAGGCCGAGGCAAATGAAAGTAAAACCATAGAAGGGTTCAGCCACACCCGTGACCCGGGGGTTCTCTGCAGATCCCGCTTCCCGGTGATAAATATATATCAGCCCTGAAGACTCCACAGCATAGTCGTCCGCAACAGTCTCAAAAGATAGAGCTGACCTGGATGAATTGGCGAGTCTGAAACTGTGTAGTATCGCAGCGTAAGTCACTGGGTGCGTGTTCATGGGTGGGCACCAGATATGCCCATATATACCTCACATCGAGGATCATCGCTATGCCGATATATCCAACCTTGAATATAAACCTAGTAATGCGTGGATATTAGATTGCCTAACTAATATATGTAAATAAAGAGACACTCGATTATTCCGAATACCAACATGAGTTACTAAGGAGGTAGGATGTCCTGATTGGTTTGCGTAGGAAACTGGTTAGCGTATATGGCTTCGGCCAAGACCTTCAGTCTGAGAGAAATACCCACCAATCTACGGAGTACACCATAGCCTATTTCTTTCAAATCCACCGGCAGTCCTTTATTTAGCTTTTCGTCTGTCAAGCAAGCGTGGTCTTGACTCTTAGGAATTTCCTACTCGGTCGTGGGTCGCTGCAAGCTAGATACCGGCCCACCGCAGCCACACCAATAGCATCCCGATATCCTCAAGCCACGGACCAGCTATCAGCAGCCCAATGATCCGTTCTAGCCCTAAAGGAGACTTCCTTTTTCAGCCCCTCGTAAAGCACCCCGCTCTCGTCAGCCGCAGCACAGGCTTGAAGCGTACGTGCCCATGCATTGGTTCGTTGTGACTTGGGGTTCAGTGCGAATCGGTACAAGCGATGCTGACAGCCGGAGAGGATGGATCAGATGTCCCGAATCTGACAGGAATCATAGCCTGATTCCCTAAAGATTGTCACATGAGGCCAGACCCCACCGTCCATTCGTTTCTTGATGAGGTTTCGGCCCAAAGTTGCGCGATTCCTATAAATCCAGGTGTCCCACCATAAGCCGGTATCATCATTTCTCCCATTGTAGTTCTCTCTGGATCATGCCTTCGTGGAGGTAGCGACCGTCTGTTTCCCTCGACGCATAGCAACAATGACGGTTCCAAAGAACCAGATCCCCGCCATCTACGAGCGGGCCATTCAGAAGTACCAGGAGATCACCGACGAGCCGTTCGACGTGCAATTCCTGGTGAAAATTCAGAATGTCGAGGATCTCACCAAAGAGATAGACGCCAGGAACAACAGCTTCCGTGAATTCCGCGAGAAGAGGGGCGCAATCTTCGATGTTCTTAACGCCGCCATGATCCCGGTGCAGCTGTTTGGCGATTTGGCCGCGGGTGGTGCCTCCATGGTCTTCCCACCGAGTAGCCTTGTCTTTGGGGCCGTCACCTACTTGATGGGGGCTGCGAAGGGCGTGTCTGCGTCCTACGATGCGATCCAGGATTTGATGGGTACATTGAAGGTGACTACGGAATCCACTGGTGATGACGAGCCAAGGTGTCTAAATTCCGCGTAGGACTTCACTATCCGGCTGAAGGCGTATAGCCAGGAGTCCATATCCGACGATTTAAGCAATAAGCTCAGCGACATTCTCGTCACACTGGTCGAGATTCTTGCCCTGTCGACCAAAACCATTCGCCGAGGCCGGCTGCTCAAGTTCACGCGCAATATCCTGCTCGGCAGCAACGATGCGATTCAGGGGGCGATGGGTAAGCTGGACAAACTAACGAGAGTCGAGGCACATTTAGTTGGGGCAGAGACGCTGACCGAGTCAAAACGGACTGGCCGGGTGGTGGACGGCATGTCGGCCACGGTCACCTCGACCCATACCACCGTGATCGAAACGGGCATGACGGTGAACCAAGTGAATCTACGGGTGAATGAGGTGCAGGAGATGCTAGGCACTTTGCTGGTGTCGGTGAAGGAGAACAAGCAAGACAACAGTGAGGATCGTGAAAAGGCATTGCAGGAACATGTCAACAAGATCCTCCGGCCATCCAAGACGGATTCTGCTCAGGACTGGTATGATAAGATCAACAAGGCCCGTATCCCGGGCACCGGGGATTGGGTTCGAGATGAACGTATCTTCAATGAGTGGCGTGCCCAGGATATTCCGGTTATGTTTATATCGGGGAATCCGGGTGCTGGAAAGTCCTACATCGTGGCGAATATGATCAGCCTGCTTCTCGAGTTGCATCCTCAGGGGGTTCAAAACACGTCACTGACTTCGGTGGGATTTTTCTTTTTCAAGGACGACAATCCGGGTACGAGATCATTTCACCAGGCCTTGCGCGACCTCGCGTTGCAAATCAGCAAAAATGACCCCGTGTATCTGAAACACCTCGCCGCTATTGAAAATTACGAGGCGATCAGCACCCTCGAAAGCGCATGGCGACTCCTCTTTGTTGACTACTTCGTGAAAACCCCCAACGCCGACAGCAATGTGTATATACTGTTCGATGGCGTGGATGAAGCATTTGACGACGAGCGGCGGACTTTCCTGCGTCTGGCAAAAGACCTCTACGATTCTACCCAGCCGTCACACCTGCAGCTGGCTGTTATTGGCCGACCTCACATCAGTGACCAGTTGCTGGAAGGTCTCGAGGTGGAGGTCCCGACCATTTATGTCACGACGCAGAAGAACTCGAAAGATATCAACCAGTACATCCATGCGAGCATCAAGAAGTCTGTGGTTCTGAGAAGAGTGTCAGCGAAGCTACGTCAGGAGATCGTGGAAAAGCTATCGGCCAGAGCGGAGGGGATGTTTCTCTGGGTGAACCTCATGCTCCAAGAGCTCGTCAAGAAACGGAACGAGTCCAGTATTCGGAAGGCGTTGGACCAAGCACCCAAGGGTCTGAAAGAAATGCTCCGCCATGTTCTCCTCAGCTTCTCGACGAGCTCTAATGAAGAGGAGCTTGAGTTTCTCAATGAGATCCTGCTATGGGTCACCTGTTCAAGGCAACCCTTAACGCTGGCCGAGGTAGAGTCCATCCTCAAGCTGAAGTCACCCGAAGGGGACGGTATGATCTATCCCGAAGGCGCCCTGCGGCGCCAATTTGCCTCCTTCTTCAGCCTGGACCGCGAGGATGGGCTCACCACGGCGGAATTGCAGATGATGTCCACGAACCGGACCAATTTCGATGACTCGGAGGATGAAGGGGAAGAGAGAGATGGTGATCAGGAGGCTTTTGAGGATGTCGAGAACTTTACGGATTTTGACTCTCACAAAGAAACAACCACAGTCACCTTCTGCCACGCATCCATTGGCGATTTCTTCCGTGATCCGACAGAAGGGAAGGTGTCCGATGAGGAAAGCCATGTCCCTGTGGGTGTCCATTACCTGAACGCGAAGGCGCACGTGCTGAAGACCTTCTTGCGAATCTTTACCGATAAGGAGTTCGCGACAAAAGCCGACGATGCTGAGCATATGCTCCGTCATGCCGCCGAAAATTGGGTTCACCATCTCCTGACCACGCGCGCTTCGGACTGCTCGCTGGAGGATAGACGCGATATTGCCAAGATGCTGCTGGTGGCGCTGAGATCTGAAGACGTGATCGCGGGCTGGATTGGCTATCGGGGCTGGGTCTCCACGGAGGCCAATACTCGAGCGGTCCGCCAGTGGTGGGACGATGAGGACGTGTTGGAGTCATTAACGCCGGAAGAGCAAGAGTTCATCTCTTCGACCGAGGCGGATCCCATCACAACATTCCAGCCGGTCGTCATGTTATGCACGAAGAAATGGGTCGCGGACGATATGTGGTTGGCTGCTCCTGTGGCTGCTGTCGCGTGGAGCTACCAGAGTCTCATGAAGGGCAAAGAGGTGAACTTCCTCGAAAGGTTTGACCCGACGCCGGACGAGATCATTGAAGCTGCTGGGTTTGGCGATTTTGAAAAGAATGCCCTTTGGCATCGCCGATGCGCCATGGTCCTGCGCCAATTGCAGTATTTCGACCAGGCGTTGGAGTACTTCTCGAAAGCAGTTGAGCTCGACCCTGACATGTGGCTGAGCAAAGCGGGCATGGCGATCGTATATTCCATGAAACAGGAATGGCAGAAGGCTGTCGACCTTGATGAGGAAATCATGCGGACCTTGTCAGCCCAAATTGAATCTGATCCAGAGAATTTGCAACTCAAAGGAAGTATTCACACCTGTCTAGAACGCCTGGGCAACTCCTATCAGAAGCTCGGGGATTTGGACAAGCGGTTTGAGGCGTATAAGAGGGCACAGGCGCTAACACCCTACTGCGACACATGTATCAATGTGCTTCTGGAACATTATGGTACCACTCACAACCATGAAGCCACCATTGACCTGCTCCAGCAGTTAGCCGACACACCGGTTCCGGACGAAGATATTTCACGGTTGACACAGTCGCTGTGGGACAACCCGGAAGAAGACACGCGTTACTTCGTGCTCGCTGCCGATGCGGCATTGGCTACCGACAACCTCAGTTTCATGGTGGAGGCATGGCGCACTGCAGCCCGCGCAGCTCGGAAGGCGTCTAAGACGGTCACCGCCGCCCAGCTCGACATGTCCCTGGCTCGGATCTACAGCGAATTCCTCCATGATCAGGCCAAGGCTGTCAAGCGCTGGGAGAGGATCATGAACACGTATGCATCGTCAAAGGACGAAACCGTGATTGGCTTTGCGAAGCTGAAGGCCTCCGTCGCATTGGCCAAACAGTTTCTCTGTGACGCTGTCGAGGCCGGAGTCGGAACGGCGCAAGCGGAAGAAGCGGGAGCAAAGCTCGAGAAGCTTGGAAGACATGTGAAGCTCAATGATGAGTCGGCGCTGTGGACGGTCTCCAGCATGCGCGCGATTTGCTTAGGCATCTACTACCGCTTGAGCGGGCGTGACGCGGACGCTCGGGCTCTCTTCAAGCCATCCATCCAACGGGGAATTGCGATTCTCTCTGATGATGATCCTGAGAACGACGTGTTAGGGTTTCTTGACCTCCTCAACGCCCTGGTGGCGGCAGGCGATGTCAAAAACGTGACGGCCGTTGCCTATCATGAGGTCCTGGGAAAATACCAGGTCGGTGATCCACAGGAAGCAATGGACAATGACAGTCCTGGCGATGAGGACGCCTTCTGGCTCACCTGTGACGGCCCATGTCGCAAAGAGCTTCCTTCGCTGGACGATTATTATCAGTGTCCCATCTGTCTCGACACCGGATTCTGTCCACCCTGCGTCCAACAGCTTGCGGAGGGGACCATGGGCATCCGAATCTGCAATCCGAAACATATCAAGGATTTTATCTATGTTCCCCCGCGACCTCGGAATGTCCCCGCGGGGAAGATGCTGGTGGATGGGGAGGAGGTCGACTTTGAGGTATGGAAACAGCAGCTGAGAAAGGAGTGGGGGGTTTAATCCTTCTGTGGTTGCAAGACTGCAAGTATATAGTTGCCGAAACGCATTTAATTTCTCCGAGATGATACAGAGCTGAATACATAAAATCGGTTCAAATATCCATCCGCATCAGCGTTCCTACCCATGGCGCCGTATTGGCTCTTGGCAGACTAAAGTCCCCGACCACCTGGAAGCCTTGTTGCTCATAGTACCTACCGTGTTTCCAATGAACGTTAGATCGTCGCCAGAGGAGAAGAGTCAATCCGACTAGATGTACTGTACTTACCGAATGAGCTTCTTATCATTCCCCGCCCATCCATCCAGCCAGAAAGCCTTCTTCTGTGTCTTGTGCCCATAGTCGCGAATCCCCCGGATCAAAGCACTTCCCGCTCCACGGCGCAACGAACCGACCCGAGAATCCGTAACCATCACTTCGAGATAAATGTTGCTCTCCCGTTCTGAGTCCGGTACCTGGAGATGTTTCTGCGACTCAATATAGCCCGGGATCCAGTTTTCCCGCACGAACGCAAAGCCAACGGAGAGGTATCTTCGACGGTCGGACGAGACTCGATAATGCGCCGGGTGAGTATCGACACTCTCTGGATCGTCTGCGTGGCACTCTTTCTCGACGATGAAGATCCGTAACACGCCGTTCTTGTTTGCGTCGCTCTGGGGGGTAGAACTCTTGGAATCTTTGATCTGCTGTACAGTTTCGTCCACCCAGCCTTCGCGGTGCGAAAAGGGTGTCGTCCCCCACTGCTCATGACTTCCGATCGAGGTTAAATACGGGATGGCTGCGTCGAAGGCTGCGACCACGAACTGGTCGTCGCCGTCCACGGTCCCGGCATCTCGTACGAGGAACTCCGGAGAGGTAGCCATTTGAAATTCGGATCAAGAGGCGGAAGGAGGGGTCATGGACTGGCTGGCCAGGACGGATGGGTATTGAGATTAAGAGGTTGCACTGGGGGAAGGGGGAGAAACAAAGCGATGGCAGACTTGATGCGGTGACGAATTTAATCCCTGCCGGTACCACAACCATCCTTTCTTTCCTCCTTATGCTTCGTTACTCGGACGAGGCTGAGAATTGCAAAAAGAAAAAATAAAAAAATACATTTGTCTCTTACTTGAACAGCTACGGTTTACTTCAAGGCATGTCGAGGCATGGGAAAATCTGAACGAGAGAATCTCCTTCATTTATTAGGTATGGAAAAAGGCCCATTCGTCATGCGACCGAAGCACGTTGACTTTACTGAATCCTCTGCCTTTCTGACTATTCTCTGTTTACGAAAGGACATTGCAAGAACTGAAACATGATGCGGAGAAGTGCCTCAGCATCAATATGACCCCCGATCAAACCTTCAGTGCCCGTTTAACCGGCTTGTCATAGAGCTCATCGGCGTCAAGCCTCTTCACCGGCTTGTCATACAGCTCATCCGCATCAAGCCTTTTGACAGGCTTGTCGTAGAGCTCATCGGCGTCAAGCCTTTTGACGGGCTTGTCGTACAGCTC